ACATGCAATGTCCTTTATTTTCTCGATGTAGATTGATATTCACAACACGCTTCTCACATATGTTGAAGATGAATACTACATTGATAGGAGAAGGGATCTTATATGGACTTATAAGTTAGTTGGCTACTTGTCATATGGTCAATTGGTTTTATGGTGGGACCTCAACTTTCTTTGTGGTATCAGAATAAAATTGTCCCACGTGTGAAGTCAAAATATCTACACGCGCGCCATGTCACCAATGTTGTTGTCCACGTGTTAGATATATATGAAATAAAAATTATGTGAGATTTATATCATATACATAAACTTAATAGTCATGGTGAAGATGTTATTCATGAAGGTTTACCAAGCTTCAAAAGCTATTGACTCCTATTTTAGTCTTGTGATTTGTTTTCGTTGAATGGTGACTGAACTCTCCAGCCTCCAGCTGCTACCAGCAAAGTTTTTTATTATTACAAAAAAAAAAAAAAAAAAAAGGTAAGCTAACGTTCATCTGTCTATTTGTATAACGGACTAGCGGTGGCTTCTCAATTTATAATTTTACACTACGTAATTACGGATAAACATTAACAATTCAACATTTAATCAATATTATCTTTGCTTGAATTGATAATTTACAATCCTCCAACCACTAAAAAAGAAGGCCTATTTTAGAATACCAGAAACTATTAAATCTCCAATTTTACAAAAGACACATTCAAATATGCAAATATTAGCAGATGATAAGGAAAAGGAAAATAAAAAATAACAGAAACGTTCCCCCTTCCCAACGCTCCATTTGGAGCACACTGCATGAAGACAACATGAAGATGAATAATATATATGTAGTTTAAGTTTCCTTCCTTGAGAATGAACAGAAGAAGGTCGATCCCCAGATTTTATATTGCAGATGCAAAAATCGCACATTGGAAACTTTTATGTAAACAATGTCTGTGTACCGTCCAAAGTATCATGAGAATTTAGTTGGGATTCCCGTATGGCCATACGTAGCAGAGACAAGTAAATAATACATAAAAAATAAGGAAAACTAATGAAAATGACTTGAAAACTTTGAGTTTTAACGATAAGCACAAAATAAATGGTAAAATAAATAGTACCAGGATTGACTTTTTAGTGTAAAAATGTGGTTTTTCGTTAAAGTAAACAGTAACGGGAGCTTTTCATTAAAGTTCGCTAAAAAATAAGGAAAACTAATAAAAAGAGTTTGAAAACTTTGAGTTTTAACGATAAGGACAAAATAAATGGTAAAATGAATAGTACCAGGATTAACTTTTTAGTGTAATAATATGATTTTTCATTAAAGTGAACAGCATCATAAGTTTTTTGTTAAAGTTTCCTAAAAAATATGCAAATCAATAGAAAAAAAAAAAGAAATAACAAAACAAAAATACAAATTAAAGAAGATGAAGCAAAAGGAGAGTTTTGGAATCCCCATGCGATCGTAAACTGCCACCCTAATTTTGTCTTTGAATACTCGATCGGAGGTCAAAGCTCTCGGGCTTTCCATCTACACATGCAGTGATGCATGCATTGTGGTATATTTAAATGTAAAGCCTTTTAAACTATATGAATGAATGCATGCGATGAAGGCCAACCAATTCAAAAAGTTTGAGTAAATAATGCAAAATTGTATGTAATCTTTGAGATTATATATAGGCGGATTTGTGCCATTATTTTTTTACATAACTTTTTATATATGTTTTTATAAAGTTCACTTTGTAATGTATTTGAACAACCGAACCGTTTATCTCTTAGGTGTTCACCAAAAGATTATGTCTTAAAAAAAAGCACCCAAAATCTAAAATCATATGAATGTTGGATTAAGTATTTAGGGTTTCTTTGCAGAACCGTATTCATCCATTTTATTCACTACAAATGAATGTCTTAATGCTTTTCAATTGGTCCAATTTTTTGCAACGATTATCTATGAATAATATTCTAAAATATAGATAGTTTAGTCAGATAAAATACATTACTAAGTATGCCAATAAAAATGTATGTTAAAAATTATGTAAGCTGTTGACCATGGGTCCGCCTCAATATATATATATAAACATTACTTGGATGTCAAAACTTTTTGTGACCAATTCATAATTTTTTATACTTATAATTGAAACTGTTCATATTATACGTAAAAATATATAAAGATTATCTCCCAAAAAAACAAACATATTGAATCACTTTATAATGCTGGAGTAATAGTTCCAGTTTAAATTCATCACCTAAATGGACCTGACTTATCTACCTTCCCAATTCTCATACACTCTCATCATCTTCTATTTGTGCGGTCATGGTTAAATCACGTCAACATTTTATATCATTATTATTTTTTGTCTTATTATCTTTATAAAAAAAAAAAAATGTTGACATAGTTTAACCATGATTGCACAAAATAAGAAGAGATAAGAATGTATGGAAAATTGAAGGGCAGAGAAGCCGAGTCCCACCTAAATAGGATGAAGGCGTTACCTTTCCTACTACTTATCATTCTAATCCATGAGATGACATGCTCGATTAATCTTAGAAACTAGTGAGAGCAATGCCAGAAACTAATGAGATCGATGAATGCACCGACTCTCTTATCAGATACACCTGCATACACATATCCCAACAAACTCACTAGCTACCTACTGACTTCATCAATATATTAATATTAATTGGTGCAGTTGGAGATTCACCTACAAAGGAGAATGACATGGTTGGGATATACCTTTTGTAGGGTATACTTAGTGTTTGAAATTTATTTGATAAGGCGATATTTTTGTGAAAAATATCAATAAATAAATAAATAAATAAATAAATAAAAAAAAAAAATATATATATATATATATATATATATATATATATATAAAGAGTGAAGTCTAAACTTCACCCCATATCAGATAAATTCTCAAATTTTAAGTAAATCGACAGATATCGTCGATATTTACCGAATATCGGTCAGAGAAACTTATATTTCTTATAAATAAGTGTTTGACATCCCTAAAGTTTCATTTTAAATTTTCATCGGAAAAACTGATATAAATATATCTATTTATATTTCCACAAATTTTCATATCGATATTTCCACGACTACCGATATTTTAAACACTGAGTATATTAATAAAAGACAAGTTCATGTGTTATAATTTAAGTGAAATATTAACATTATATGTTTGTGTTCCCTTAAAAGAAATTGCCTTTACCAATATACTATCAGTAGTCATTTTTAGCTTCTAATTATTATTTGTACAAAAATATTTTGTATCATATCAAACCCGTTATTTAGAAATTCAACCTTGTATGGCCAAGATGAACCATTTAGTTAGTCAACAACCCGAGACCAGTTAGTTGTGGAAATGATATGGGTCCCGTGGAGCATGCGATCACCATCAATTAGAAAAATATTTACCAATTTGACAAGACACAATTTCAGTAATTCCTAAATTATTTTATTTCTTAAAGTAATGCCGTCGGGATCTTTTGATTTGGATAGGTACTAAATCTATTATTTTGTTCATTTTATTTTAGAATTATACATTGAGAAATATTAAAAAAATTCTCTTAAAATTGCAATTTTATGAATTATCTGTCATCTCATTTTTGTATAATATTTTATGATATTACCATAAAAATTAATCTTAAACAGTGAGACGACAAAAATTTTACAAATAATTACATTTTGAAAAAATCTCGTTAGCATTTATCTGATTAAAAAACTCTAAAATATTAGTATAACAGTCTCCTTTCTCCCACATAGACACCCAATCAACTCATTTGATTTATTCTGTTGAATATTATTTTAGATTTGACACTACCTTTGTTTTTGCATGAATTCCCTCCATCTTGCCGACTGCCGCCAAGAAAGCCTCGCGGCTGCCTTCCACCCCGGCGCACAATAGCAAGTACACGTTCAGCCTACACGTGCGTGCAAGCAGCCAATCAAAACATAGTTGAATTCAGAAAGTAAAAAGTTCCCTTTCAGATTTCTACCCAGAGATGTAATCCCCTGCACCCCAACCCACAATACCAACTTTGAACTCATGCCTGGTTTGTGGCTATTATGTATGAAACACTTCTTTGATTCTTTGCGGCCATCTCAATTTTTTATCGTCGACCTAAATAAATAAAAAAAAAATTTAATTAAAATATGTAAAAAATAAAGAGCTCGTTTGAATGTACTTTTAAATGATTGTATCTAAAAACATTTAAAGTGTTTTCTGCAAGAAACATCAATTATGTGCTTCTTTTAGGAAGCACTTTAAGTGTTTTTTTAGGATTTACTTGCATTTTTACTAAAGATTGTATCTAAAAATATTTTTATCAAAAACACTTTCAGTCATTTTAAAAACATATCCGAACGAGCTCAAAAACCGGTGTGTGAATATATGAGTTACCCGTACCATTCCTTGACCGCTGATAGGAAAATATGATTTATATGCTAGAACTTCTTTTGTTAGAAGGGTGTTAAAAACTTTATTTAAAGTTAAAGTACCTCTCTAACAAAAGAGAAGTATTTTTCAACTTTTCTACTAAACACAATTTGTATGTGTTTTTTTTTATGAAACCAATTTTAGTTATTCTAAAAACAATATCCATGAGTTATTTGAAATTTCACTGCATTTAGAAATGACAAATTAATCAATTGAGTTGTTAATAAATATCACTTAAAACGTTTAATTTGACATCATCGTAATATAAAGACATGTATAATCGAATGATTGTTCGTCACTTATTTAGAAGTTGTCTTTAGATTCTAACTCTTACATTTACGACTTGTTGTGAGTGGATAAGCCGGATTTCGTATCATTCTATGCATCCAATTGTTGTGAAGTCCCTCCGCTCTGTGATCTTGTACCAATTTAACGGCTCAGATTTCTCGCTCCAAGTCTGATCAGAGACACTGACAGTTGGTGATCGCCAACACAGAGACTTCAAGAGTGGAGAGGATGAAACGAAACTCGTTACGATGGGTCCCACGGAAGTATATTGTATAAATTCCTTTAGAAAATAGAAAACTTTAGATCCCTGAAGCGATGGCGAAGACGAAGATGATGGAATTCTTCTAGAGAGAGAAACAGAGGAGCTCATTGACGATCAGATTGGGTTGCAGAGCAGAGCAGAGGCAGTTTAACTCCGCATTGTATGCTCCACTGCGCCGCCACACGCCTTAACACTTCCAAATTTCTGGCGTCGGCGTTTCCGGCGAGTCAAAGTTTCGGCCTTTACTTGTTTTCAGCTAGGATTTGGCGTTTGGCGTCGTGATCATGGGGCGGTGAGGCCTGTTTGGAAGGCAGGAAATTTTTGTGGGATTTTCACGGGAAAGTAGACAGGTAAGAAGTGGAGGTGAAATGAATTGAGATATTAAATGCTGAAACAAATCCCTATTAATTAGGAGAGAAGAAGAAGAAAAGAAAAAGAAAATTCCGTTTAATTACTTTTGACTCCCCTTTGAATTCTCTATCTCTTTCTCTCTCTCTCTCTCTCCTCTCTATCTCATCAAACTCTTCTCCAAAGCCTACTCCTTTTCGGCTCTCTGATTAATCACTTTAATTGAAACTTTAATTGAACTACAGAGTGTTTATGTCTCTCTGTTCTGGGAGCTAAGGTTCACTCTCTCTCTCTCTCTCTCTCTCTCTCTCTCCATATATATATATATATATGTATATCTGTCTCCCTTTCCTTTCTGTCCTGCAGAATTTAATCCTGAAATTACGATCTGAAATTCTTAGAAATGGGTTTTTTTTTTTTTTGCTGTACGTTAAATTGAATTTACTTAAATATTTGGGACTAATCACTTTTCTTTTTGGGTTATTTTCTTATGGTTGTAGTTGTTTCTGAAGAGAGGAAGAGAAAGCTGCTGGTTTCAGTAAAAAGGTACTGACTTTCTTACTTTTTTATAATTTTATCTTCTGGGATCTGATTTAGATCTTTCTTATTCCCCCAACTTTTGTTTTTGGGGTTGTTTTTTACAAATTGCATCTGGGGTTATTCTGCAGACTTCAAAATCTGTGGGGATTTTCCCTTTTTTTCTTTTATTTAATTTTCTTGGCTCCAACCAGTTGGATCTGATCACTGTTTTGCTTGACAAATTGGTGGGTTGAGAACTGGGAATCTTTAAAGGAAAGGCCTCATGAGACTTTTGAATTTTAATATTCATTATTTAGCTGTTGAAAGTTTGCAACTTTTTGTTGGGGTCTCAAAAAAGGTGGGACTTCTATCCCTTTGTCTTTTTTGTACAGTGAGAAGTGAGAACTGACTTCAGGAATACATGGTGGCTACCAAAGTTTTTCAGGATACTCTTTCTTGTTTTCGTATGAATGTATATATATATATATATATATATATATATATATATATATATATATATATATATATATATATATATATATATATATATATATATTTTGCTTTTATCTTATCTACGATGGAAAACTCGCAAAGCGGGAGCCTTGTTGGCTTGGAATTGCCTTTTGTGATTGAAAACTCGATGGGGGTGGCATTTGTAATTTTTGTTTTTGTTTACATACCAGGGGCTGCCGTGTTAGTTTTCTTTTGTTTCTTTAGGTTGGTCTCAAGGCTGCTCTGTTGTAATCCACCATTAATCTAATCCATTTCTTCCTTAATAATGTAAAGAAAAAGAGGTAGTTGAGGGAAACTTCTGGCTATTAATTATTGAATTGAGTTGTTTAGCATCCTTTCAATTTTACTTTCCTGTTAAGTTATTGTTTGGACAAATTTTCCAAGTATTTTTGTTCCCTGTCCTCCTGTTTTTCTCCTGACATTTCGTTTACTTTGGTTCGTGTCTGCTTTGTCACATCTTTCAGATTTTGCGCCGAATCTTGTGATTATGTTTGTATGGAAACCTTCTCATTTCATTTCTGTAACTTGAGCATCCTTGTTACGGTTTAGCTGCCCGGTTATAAGTTTGTCCAAAGTTGGTCTGTTTGAATTTTTTGCTAACATCTATAAATTACATTTTGATGGGCAGGGTCCATGCTTGAAAATATCGCTTGCCGTAGCTTTAAAGCTTTCAACTGCAGTTCGCAATCTATGTAAACCATGAAACTTGGTAATTACTGGTTATTTTTCCTTTTGGTTTTGACCACTCTGCTATTAAACTCTTGCAGCAGACATCTTACTTATGAACTTTTGTAGTCTTCCGGAGTTCTATCTTGATATCTTAAGTTGGATAGGGCTATTTTCTCGACTGGGCCTCCCAATGAGTTTTTCGTGAAATAGTACTTGAGTTCAATATTACTCATCTGCATTGTGTTCTTTGTAGGGAGAAAATGAATGCTATGGTGTTCAGATTTCCCTGGCACTGATAATTTTGATGTACTTGCAGAGAGAGAACCAGTGTTTGGTCACTTACCTATAAGCCACATGCCTGATTCGAATCCTTTTAATTGTAATGACATTACTCTGGACTCCGCGGGATTACAGTCAACAAGTCAGAATAGGGAGAAGGAATCGGATTATTATATGGACAAAAGTGTTACGGAATGTGAACTGCCTGAATTGATAATTTGTTACAACGATAGCAGTTGTAATACAATTAAGGACATCTGTATTGATGAGGGATTGCCTTCCCAAGACAAGAATTGGGTTGAAACCGGGTTGGATGAGAAGGCATGCTGCACCTATTTACCTCCTGATGAGGATCAGAATAAGCAAATGCATGAAGAACAATTGGATATTGTTATTACCTTTCCAGATGATTTTAAATCTACTGCAAAAAATGATTTAGAGAAGGGGTTTTCCATTGCTTGCAATTCCAAGGAGCCAATGGAGAGAGGCGATGCTATAAATGATGGATCAGAGAGGACTGCAATTGACGTTTCCAAAGAAGATTCTTGCCCGGAAAATGTGCAAGGGTTTGGTGCAGGGAACCCTCACTCCAAGTCTTCTAATAAGGACAGCAATGAAGCCGAACAAGAGACTATTCAGGTATATCTAACTCTAAGTTTGTATTATTGCATAGTTTACCTCATGAATCTCCCTTGCATTCGAGTTTTGTTTTCATGGTCCTTTTGCAATACTTAGAACTGACGCTATCTGGTGCTTAAATAATCATTCTTTATAGGATAAATAAAAAAGCAACTGCTTTTGTCAATTTCCATTTGCACGCATGAAGTGGCTGCAGCGATGATTCTTAATGATGACCGATGTTTATGTCTGTGGTTATGCAGTGTTACTGACAGTTCCATGACACTCCATTGCTGCGAGAAATAATAAAAAAAATATTCTCTTAACGGAAGTTAGACTCTTAGCTTGATGTTGAGGAAAACTATACATGTGCATATAAGCTAGAGAGAAAAGAGAGGTGAAATTTTAGAAATTGATGTAGTTTCCTGTGGTTTCAATGCAGATTTCAAGGGAAATAGCAAAGACTGAGAGCCCTGCTTTGGTTTCAGAAACTGAAGAGTCTAACCATATTGAGAAGGAAGCATTGTTTTCTGCAGCTGAAGAATCAAATTGCCTTCTCGGTGAGTTATCTGGCAATAGCAAGGCAGAGAGCGGAAACATTACTTCTGCTTTGGACGTTTCAGCACATGTATCCATTACCACAGATGTGTGTCCTCAAAATGGTGTATGCAATATGCCTATAGATGATGATAGTCATGATGAATGCCAATTTCATCATTGTCTAGCACCTGTGGTTACTGGAAGAGAAGAGTGTCCTGAGAATGGTGTACATCTCGATACTTCAAATACGTTCAACGTTGGTGGTGACATTTCTGATCCAATGATTGTTTCAAGCCAAGTTGAACATCGTTTAGCACCCGTGGTTACTGGAAGAGAGGAGTGTCCTGAGAATGGTGTCTGTCAACATCTTGATGCTTCAAACACGTCCAAGGTTGATGATGACATTTCTGATTCAAAGATTGTTTCGAGACAGGTTCAACATTATTTAGCTCCTTCGACTATTGCCAGAGATGAGTGTCCTCAGAATGGCGTCTGTCAAGGTCTCGAAACTACAAATACAACCAAGGTTAATGATGACACTTCTGATTCAAAGATTGTTTCAAGCCAGGTTCATCATTGGTTATCTCCTGAAACTTCATATATATCCATGGTTGAAGATGTGAATGCTGATGCACACAATGCTCCACTCCAATTTCAACGCAGTCTAGGAGAGTCAAGTTTCTCAGCAGCTGGTCACTTCTCGAGCCTCATAACCTCAGGTCCCTATTCCGGCAATGTCTCCCTCCGATCAGAAAGCAGCACCACCAGCACCCGCTCATTTGCCTTCCCTGTGTGAGTTACTCTCAAACTCCTTCCTCTCTTTTGCTTTTCAAACCGCCATCAAGTTACCGGAACACACAACTGACAACACATTCATATTCCCTCTTTGTCATGCAGATTACAGTCCGAGTGGAACAGCAGTCCAGTTAGAATGGCGAAAGCTGACCGGAGTCATTTGCGGAAACATAGGGGTTGGAGGGGTTGTTTTCTTTGCTGTAGCTTCTGATTCTCTCCGAACGCTTCCATCTAACCGTAGTTATTAAGTTTAGCCAGAGTAAATGCTTCATCATAGTTTTATCACATCTTTTAAATTATCATCGTCAATATATACATCATATTTTCTGCGGCTTGGGATGTAATTTGCAGTAGGTTTAGAGGAGTGTCATGCTTTTTGTTATGCGTGCGCTTTAAGGTGTAAGCAATGACTTATTATTTTCTCTTTAATTTTTCATCCGTTATTTTTTTTCCCCCATTTTCTTTCTCTTTTGGAAAGAACAAGAAGAATCTTGTTTATATTGAGCTTGGGATGGTTTATGGGTACATACTGTTTTGCTTATAAAGTCTGGTCCAAAATCCACTCCAATACCACTTAACGGAAATTCTCTGCTGCACATTTTTTTTTTTCACGAGTAAACGGTTGAGATTTAATTTAAGGGAGTTTTAATGAAAAGCACACGGTACTGTTCACTTTAACGAAAAACCACATTTTTACACTAAAAAGTCAAAGATACTATTCATTTTACCATTTATTTTGTCCTTATCATTAAAACTCAAAGTTTTCAAGCCATTTTCATTAGTTTTCTTTATGAAAAAGCTTTAGTTAAATTTCAGTCGTTCTTTTATGTGAAATAATGCGCACAAGAGTAAGGCTCCATGGTTATTAAAAATCTAAGGAAAGCGCAAGTCTCTTATCTAGAAAACACTAACTGTTTATTATAAATTTAAGTGCTTATTCCAAAAGCATGTGGAAAGGATTTTTGAAGAAGCATATGACGTGTATCTCCAAAAATTGCTACTATAATCATGAAGCACTTTTTGAAGAAGCACAAGCACTTTTTGAAGAAGCACTTCAACTGTTTGAATCTCTTTCTCTCTTGAATAGTTCAAATCTCACGATTCGTAGACTTCAAATACAAAAATCCAGAATGGATCTTATTCTTGCTATTGTTTTTCTATCCTGCTAGGCTGCCATCCTATAAAACAGAAAGAGTTTAAATGTGACTACAAATTGAATGATTTATCGACATATACTAGGTGGCCCTTCACCTTTTGAGCTATGCAGGAGTTGGGAAGTGATGGAATCAAGATTCAAAACACATCATAATATAACAATCGAATCTTTTCTTTCTCCCGATAGGCACGAAAGGGTTGAGACATGGTTGAAGGTAAAAGAGGTATTATCATTTTGGGAAAGATGTACATGCATCTTTCGAGACTCCACAATGATATTTTAGACCAGTAATACATTGTTATACTAGAAGAAGCTTATACTTGATATTGTACTATTAACTCAAGCGTCATGGTAAACGTGTTTCTAAATTATGCATAAATTTTGACGTGATAAAAACTTACATGAATCATTGAAATATTTAACGAGAAAATAACTTACATGCACCATGAGAATATTGATAATATGTGAAATGAAAAAGATAGTTATAAAACAGGAAAAAAAAGTGAAAAAGGGCCATACTGAACAGTAGTGTATAGACAAAACCAACCCAAATGGTGTGAAAACCTTTTTAAAAAGAAAACATAGTTAATTTGAGAAAACCAATTTCATCTGCTTGTATTGGAACTCTCCGTATTGTGCTTAGTGTATCTCCTCTCTCTCTCTCACTCTCTCTCTCTCTCTCTCTCTCTCTCTCTCTCTCTCTCCAGAGTTGCCTACCGGCTACCACTACTGTTGATTGATATAAATCCAACGCCATACCCACAAAAGAAGTATATATCAGTATTCACAGTTAATAATCGTAGATAGTATTATGGAGATTCCATTCTTCACGTTGCTTTGCTTTCTAATCCTCTCCGTTTTGCTAATTACACCCGGATGTGCTTCTCTGCAAACTCAACTTCAACCATCCAACAAACAAGGTACTCTCTCTCTCTCTCTCTAGATTATATTAGGACTTTCTGAGTAACCTTTTAACATTGTGATGCAGGCAAGAACGAACTGCAGGTTTCTTTCCCTACACTGCCAAGGAAGCTTAGATTGACTGGAAAAGTAACTGTAAGAATAATCTCTCTTTCAAACATTACTAGCTAGAAGAAACTTATATATATTATATATTAAATAAATATATATATATATATATATATATATATTCTTATTTTTAATCACACCTCCTCATATTATCTGAAATATTTACATGCAGGTTGCAGAACAAGAAGGTAAAAATTCCTCAGCCTACAACAACCACAAGGAAAGTGCTTTAGCAGGTATAATGCTTGTTCAGTTCTCAAACTAATTAATAGTAAAATTGTTTTAATGCATATATGAAAGATGAAAATTTTGGAAAACGTCTTGTAGCTAGGTTTGTTTTGTTCAGCAGTTCCAAATTTGACAAAGGTGCATGTAGCAAGGAAAATGCTTGGCTCTATACATGTGTAGCATTTCATTCTTCCTTACAAACAAATCATAATGTGATTCATAGGATAGGAGGTATAACGAGCCGAGTAGTGTTCATGTAGCAAATGGTTTCCAATTTTCAAATTTATTCCCTCTTTAGCTGAGTACTGAAGAAGTACCTAGTTGTACGGAAATAATTTTCACTCTTTTTTTGTGTGTGCACGTTCATGTTTATTTATGATATTTCGATCAAATAAAGTAAAAGAATTAATGGACAAAAATAAACTAGAGTATGTAGAATGCGTTTCGTTACAACTTGCAATTTGCTAGTGTGAATAGCTAATTTTTCCAGGTAAGAATGACATCTAAGCTAGTCATTGACCTCTGTGACTCTGTCATGTATAATATCTTGACATATGTTTTGAGTAAAATATTAAGTGTCATTGACTTTTCAGATGGTAAGAAGCCAAGAATCGAGAAAGAAGAAGATGAAGAAGTGCAGGTAGTGGAAAGAAGCAGATCAGTAGACACATGGCAGGAACAGATGGAGAAGGAGGACACGTCAGAGTTCTTCACCATGGATTATCACAGAGTAAGACGACGACGTCCCATACACAACAAGTCCTTTCCTGCAGTTACAGTTTCTCCATGAAACATGCATGCCTGTCGCCTGTTGACAGATATTGATCGAAATTAGAACAAAACATTTTGGATACGTTAATGCTAGGGTTTATAATTAGGGAGGAAAATGAGGAGTGTATGTTTTGTTAAGCATCTCTTGTGGCCGACATTAAGGAGCAAAACCCAAGATTTGCTACTAATTAACTAGCTAGGACGACCATATATTATATATAGGTCCCAAATTAAATTAATGATGTTCTTTTTGTTGAGTTGGGTAGGTCTTTGTGGTAGTCAAATGAAGGCTACAAACCCCAACATTTGGTAACATGCTCTCACAGGAATTGCATATGCGGGTTAAAGTCGGTTGATCAAAACACTGTTTTTGCTCTCTTGTTTTCAAGTTTGATATATCTCTTTTTTTTTCTCTCTCAGTAAATTAAAATAGTTTGGAATATTATTTTGTTTGAAGAATATAATATATTGGAAACCAACATTACTTTACGTGCTTAAGTTTGATTATAGTAATTAAACAAGTTTTGTTATGTGGCACAAGTGGGTGATTATCTTTGGTAGACTCCTTGTAATTGTCAACTAGTTAATTAAACACTTAGCTTCTTAATCGAGGGAATTATATATTATTATAATATAATGCATGCGTTTCAAGTTTCAACTTTGAATGGTGCCAAAGATCGATGATTCCAAAACTTTGACCTAATTATATACTCTAAACCACGTCTTCAAATTTGAATATTGTTTCCATAGCCATACGTAATTCCAATGGCCAAGGTAGGTTTTGGCCTGATTTGGTACTGAGGTGATTCTGAAAAAAAATGGGTATAAAAAAAATCTGTGTTTGGTAAACCTCCAAACCCAATGCACAACCACCAACTCCACCCTGCAACTCAAGCCGCCAACATTGAAAAAAAGGTCATCTATGTTGCTAAAATGGTAATTGCCATGATACGACCATCACCTCCAAACCCAATGCATAACCACCAACTCCACACTACAACTCAAGCTACCAACATTGAAAGAAGGTCATGTGTGTTGCTAAAATGGTAATTGTTATGATACAGCCACCACCATCTTCACCAACCACAAAGAAGTACTGGAAGCTGAACTAGTTGGTAAGTTTTGAATATAAAAGTTGTGGCAAGGTTTCGATGGTCGTAAGTTGAGCTTGAAGGTTGCCGGGCTTCATAATCATATTACCCGATCTTCAATTTTGTTTTCCTTTTTATTTGTGAATTTGTTTATTTTTTTTCATCTTCATGTCTTTTTTAAGTTGTTTTTATTATTATTTTAGTGTCCAAGTAAGCTAAAAATTAGGATTCATTTGTTGAAAAATTATCTAGGGCTATCTTGATGTGACATTTTTAATATATTAGATACTTATTTGGAATGTTTAAAAAAGTTAAAATCAATTTAGAACGACACTAAAAGATTGAGTGTTTTAGTTTAGAGGAAAGGGATCCTCTTCAGATACCTTCCACTTAATCTTTTTCATCAAACAATTTGAGTCCTTGAAATTTGATCTAACGGGCAAAAATACGAGCCAATTCTAAAAGTTATAATAACTTTAGCCGTTTGATCAAATTTCAAGAATCTGAATTGTTTGATGAGGAGAATTAGGTTGAAGAGATCTATAGAGCCTTGTCTAGTTTAGATACTTGATCCTTAATTCAATTTAAGAATATTAAAAAGTTAAATGACAGGTCGATTGATTTTATGTTAGTTAACGACAGGCATTTAACGCGCGAGCGGCACCCTTCCAAGACAAACCGCTAAGAAAACGACGTCGTAATAATTCAGCACCTCTGACTATTGCTAAATCTTGAGGAACACAGTAGCTGAGCATCCAAACAGCAAACGAGAGATCAAACAACAATGGAAGACTTATGGAAGCGAGCGAAGACCTTCGCCGAAGAAGCGGCCAAGAAATCCCAGGCCCTAACCACCTCCGCCAAGATCACCGACCTAGTTTCCGAAACCGCCAAGCGATCCCGCGAGTTCGCCGCCGAGGCGTCCAAGAAGGCCGACGAGATCAAGACAGCGGCGCTTAAGCAGGCCGATCAGATCAAGTCCCTCAACGTCTCCGAGATGATACCTCCCCAGCTTGCCTCGCTCTCGATCGTCAACTCCGCCTCCGCCTCCGCCTCCTCCGCCCCTGAGCCGCCGTCGCCGTTGGAGCTTAAGAAGTTTGGTGTCACCGAGGATCTCAGAGATTTTGTCCAGGGACTCACTTCCGATACCTTCAAGCATTTTCCGGTCCAAGGTATTGGCCGATTTCAGTTCGTTTGTTTGCTGATTTCAGTTTAATTGCTTTGAATTGAGCAAATGTGCGTTGTTCCGAGTTGTTTCAGATGCGGCAGAGGAGGTCTCCGATGTGCCGACGACGGCATCGAATGTGAGGAAAGATCTGACGGAGTGGCAGGAGCGGCATGCGACTTTGGTGCTTACTACTGTCAAGGTCAGTTTTGTAATGTATCTTCTCTATCTGTTTCAATTCCGATACAGCCAAACACAAACATGGTGTTTAAGTTCAATTTCAATGCAATCCATCTGAGTTGTATTTCGAACTTTGATTCCCCAATTTATTAAACAATTTGATGACGAAATGTGTTAAAATTTGTATTGATATCGTTATGGACTTGTCGATATCTTCCTGCGAATGCTGATTGCCTTCCTGCAGGAAATTTCAAGGCTGAGGTATGAATTGTGTCCGCGAGTTATGAAAGAAAGAAGATTCTGGAAGATATATTTTACCCTTGTGAGCAGTCATGTGGCTCCGTGAGTAGAAATTCATTTTGGTTAAGCATTTCTCAAACTGAGCAATAATATTATTTGAAAGTTTTATGCAATGGTGTGTGTTTTTTCTCATCTAAGTGAGAAATAACATTGAACATGAGACGATCAATCATCTTGTTTTAGTGTAAAACATCATCATCCGCTGGAAAATTATAGTCTCAGTTTATAGCCTTTTCCCAAAATTAGTGATTTTGGAAAATTATCGGGTGTTTGGAGCTTAAAAATATTTTTTTTAACGGGGAGGGCTTAGTGTTTAGATGACTGACTATGAACTTCTGATCAGATATGAGAAGCAATACATGGAGGAATTGAAGGTCCAGGAAGCAGAGAAACTAAAAGATGATATTGTGAAGCCAACGCCTCCTGTTGGAGGAACTGACAAAGCGGAAGGATCTGAAAAGAACACGAAGCCTTCAGTTTCAAAATCATCGTCAGCTGAACAGGACTTGGATAGTTTCCTTTTGGGTGATCTTGAAGACAGTGATGGGGGTCCGGGTATAGTTCCTTTACCTTTTCACTTGCAACCTGTGTATAATTTTTTGTGCCATGCCCGTGTATGAGTTTCTTTTCCCATCATCTTTTAAGTTAGAGGATGCATATACCACTCAACTTATTACTCTAAATTCACCCTATCAAGCTGTGTACTAGCCGTGTTGTGAACAAATCCTTACTAGTCATAAGAGTCATACCCTTCCACAGTTCCTTTGTAGTTACGTCGAGACAATCTGCTCTTTTTCTAGGGTTTTCCTTCTTGTGTAATTTACTCTTCAGTTTGTTGACAATTTTGTACTTTCAGATGATCGTGATGATGGTGATCGGAGCTTTGATGATGATTTTGACAAGATCGACAATTCGGTAAGCTTCATTTACCCCATGGTTCAACTGCAGAACTTTTTTTCCGGGTGTGCATTTTCAATTCCATGTTTTATCGTACATTTATTTTGTCGGTGTTTACATAATCACCAATCCTCCAACTTAGTTCGACCCCAACGAGTTTGGAAAGTGCCATAAATAAAGTACCTTGCGAGTGATTTGTGCCATTTTAATGGAAACTTGCAGGATGTCGAAGATGAGAAGCACGAGAAGAAATGACAACTGCAACAGAATAAAATTGCTACCATGGATAATATGAAGGAGAAAGCAAAACTAGCTTCTGTAAGACTGTAACAAATAGATCAAAGTAAACCCGAAGCGAAAGACGTCAAGCAGTATTTATTTCTTTATCTCACATTTTTTCATTTTTTAGTTGTAGAGTTGATTACTTTGTAAAACTCTTAAGTGGGACGCCTGATGAAGTCATCCGTTTGTTATATTTGCCGTAGACAGTGACGGGTATTGGTACTCGTTTGCCTACAAATGGGTCGACCCGGTTGCTTTGTTCTTGTACAGATGACCTGATTATTATGTTAAATAATAAATATGGTTCTTATTGTTTAGTGTCTATTAGTTCTGCTAATAGTACCATTATCAATTGGTATCCCTCTCCACTGGTAAAAATATCTCAAGTTTGATTCACTCGGATGGAGAGTTCGATAACTGATCATTTCGGTATGACTCGACAAAGACACGGTTCTCTTACTTTGTGGAAGGTGTCCAAACGAACGACATGGTCAGACGGCCCTACCCAAGTTTTTCTCGACTTGGGTGGTGTGTATGGAGTGTACATTACGATCCACTTCCCTAGCTAAATGTAAAATAATTTTTGTTTGAGACACGAGCTAACAAGTTTATTACCACGAAATCGCACCTGAACGGCTCCATTTGTTACACTCGAAACAATTGTTCTCGGCATGTGTTCAATGAAATATGTAAAGGGGAAAACCGAGGCACGGCATGTACACTAACCGGAAGATGGGCACTAAGACATCCCAAAGCAGAATAAAGGAGTAAAAATATGGGTGAAATGGGAGAACAAGGAGATGTCACACTGGTTCTACGTCTTGAGGCGCTTATGGGCTTGATCGGAGTCCTCTCCGCTGCCAGCATCCCTAAAATGCGCCGTCGTCTGATTGCTTGAGTGGGGATTATCATTATCCTGGAAAAAAAAATAAGAGACTTATCTATCGTTTCTCTACAGGTTGAGAATCCATACTAATGGGTGGAAAGACCGGTAGAGTGTTGTAATTTGAAATGTACAGACCCACATGCTTTCAGAAAGATGGTTAACGAAGAGGGTGGTGAGGGCAGTGGAAAGAAAAGCAAATGAATGGAACCACTTGTACTATACCCAAAATATACCTTAGAGGCAGGTGTTACAGAGGGCAGCCCTCGGTTCGCACGATTCCCAAGATCAATCTGCACTGAGATACTAGCCTGCGACAGATCAACACCCGCACTCTGTAGCGCTTGACTCAGAGAGTTTAATAACCTGTTCATAATTTGGGGAGTTTGAACTTAGAACCCAAAGAAACTGATCAAGAAAATGCATGCCGTACACTGTATTACAATACAGTATACAAAACAATAAAGCAAATGTGACCAATAATAAAGGTCTGGAGTCGCAATAATTAATTGACAGGATCGAAGCAAAACGTAGTATGGCAAATATTTCCAAAAGTTGAATGAGACTCATAGTATGTTTTATTTTCGATGTTTCTCAAAATGGTAGGTTCTATATATATAGTTTGAATACTCACCCTTGTGAGTAAACGCTTGAGATGCTTATTGTTCCACCTTCAATTGTCAGCTCCTCCTGTTGGCTCAGTACATCACTAGCGCTAGTGGTGGGGCACTGAGTTGATTGAGCATCAGAAATTTGTCCCTGGAGAGGATGGGCAAGCACACCATCACTTCTGACCGGGGGAGTCATGTTTGGTAGAGGCCTAGGCAGCGGAATCCCCTTGTTTACTATCTCAGGTTGCCGATCCACTATTTTGGAGGCAACATCCCTGCTAGGGTCAGATTCTACTGGATTCGGTGTGCTGTTTGCCAGCATGTTCGGATTGATAGAGATGTTACTTTCATCAAATTTTCCAGGAAACGATAACATTGGTGCAGCGTCACTCTTTATGGCCTGAGGATTTCCAACAAAACTCTGAACACGCCAGTGACTATTTCTCTGTTTCATGAAGGGGGTAAATGTTCGACAACAAAGTAGGTGTCATATTCAGAAGCTATGGTCATTGTCTTTTATTCACCAGAAAACATGAATTTGAAGCAGTTTAATATGATTACACCTTAACAGCAATCGAGCCCATCCCATAATTACCCAATTAATCAACTTTATATGCAAAGAGCCAATGACAACAACTTCAAAATGGAAAAAGATTACCAAAACTGCTTAGCATGAGTCAGGGCATAACTGACTATACTCTTGAAAAAAATTGTAGAATACTTTATGCAGGAAGGCAAGCAGTCAGATGCTCCGTGGTATAATTGCATAAGCATTCAGGTGAACATATCAGTGCACAAGATTCAGAAAATTACCCATGGCATTAATTTTGTCGGCTCAGGACTCCAACCCTGGTATGAACCCTCATATTTGTGTACTTTTTCCTGTAAGTACTGGACATACTCGATCACCTGCAAAAAGATGACAAATAACCAAGTAACCTTAAGGACAGTGTGCTTCTAAAATAAGCTTAACAACTTACGCAGTTTTCATACACAGAACGTACCTCTAGCAGGAATGATGCCGTATCCCTTTTCTGATCACTATGGGGTATTAGATCTCTCAATATCTGGAATCTGAAAGAAAAATTTAAGCTCCCTCAAGCTCTATCAACTAGTAAATTGACAACTCACTTAACCAATTACACGTTTCTTGTTCAAGCAACACCTAATACCATGGATTACCAGTCGCAGAACCAGAACTTCAACATCAATGATGTAACCACCATCTGGACAACCAACAGTTCAAAGACATGGACGGATTCCACCTTAAATTAAAACCATACAAGCTTCACACTTTATCTACCCTTTAGAACTTGAACTAATCAAGCAATGAATTTGTTTTAACGGAAGAAATTACATTCGCAAGGTAACAAGTAAATGCTAAATTAGCATAGCATCATCAACTAATCAGCTAGTTAGCAGTAAGTGTCATCTGTACAAATATCCGAAGCACTGCCAATTACACCAGTAAATTGAATCGAATGACGGATAAAGTGCAATACTCTACGAATACAACAACAGAAACATGAGAATTTGATGAAAAACAATTGAAACAAAGCATACCTCTCATTGATCTTGCTCCTCCTTCTCTGCTCCGTGACGGAATGTTTCGATCGTATAGCACTAGCCTTATCGTTGTTCTTGGCATCTAGTTTCCATATCCAAAATCCCGAATTCCAAATTACAAAAAAGAAAGGCATGCTCACCTCAATACACCCACAAAATCAAAAGAAAAAAAACAAAGCCAAAAACAGTAAAGGTGAAATATTTCGTACTCAAATTCCAATCAAACAAAGAAGATTACAATTCCCAACGTATAAATCCTAAAAATATAACGTTGGATCTACAAATTCGAAAAAACCATGATCGAAAACAAGGTACAGATAAAAATGTCACCTTTGCTGTTGGAATTGGAAGAAGGGCCCTCTTTCCGGGAGCCAAACTCCTCGTCGTCGTACTCGTCCTCCTCTTGGTTGCCTTTCGCGGCGGTTCTCATCCTCCTCTATGTGAATTCCGATGGGTCTGGATTTAATTTCCAAGACTTTATGGACAAATCTGAAAAATACCCGGACAAGAAAATCTCAGATACGTTACACTAGACGGGGGAATTGGAGATTTGCGGTGTCTGATTGGAAAACTGAAGGCGACGGAGAATTGGGTTGGGGTGTTTTTCCCGGCGGAGCACGGCAGCGGAACCTCCGCGGTTTAGTTGAGGCAGCTACTGATGTTGGTTGTACTCTCTCTCTCTCTCTCTCTCTCTGTCTTTGTCAGTGCCCTGTCACCACCGTGACTCCGTTTGCGAGAGAAATTGATGGAGCAAACATTAGCATGTGGGTGACCTCACGTGCTTCCCGTGAGGTCACTTAATAGCCCTTGCCTTTTTACTTTTTAATTTTTTTTTTCTTTTCTTTTTCCTACTTGGCAAGCCATGAGGGTTGATGGATTGAACGGTCACGATGTAAAGGACGACCAAGCTTAGATGATCATAAGGGTTGATGGATTGAAGTTTCTCCCCCAAACTTCGCAGGTGACAGATATCGTGTTTTGTTATTTTAGGAAAATACATGTTCATTAGGAAAAATAATTTCTTTAAATTAATTTGTGATGATTATCTAACATACGCGTATACATTGCAACTTGAACAAAAGCTTCGGTATGGCCCTCTTTCAGTGTTTTAAATGCCGACAAACAAACATATAATATTCTCTCTAAAGTTTTTATTTTAAATTTCCACGTTTTAAAATGAATTTTAATTATTTTCATCAAAAACAACTGATATTGATATTAATATCTTTATATTCACTGATATTTCACAAATTTATATATCAATATTTTCATCTGTGCCGATATTTTAAACACTGTCAACTTCTCTCTAATCAGCCCTTAATTCACTTACTAATGATGGCCCTGCAGGCTAGGCCCGTACTCTCGTGCAGTTTTTATGGAGTTCGTGGAGATCCGTCATGCATGGATTGCCAATGATTACGAAAAATTGTAGGAAACGAAAGGACGTGCATGGTATGTGGCTACATACATGCACAATAACCCCATCCCCACATACGTACGTGCTTTTGCATGATTTTTGCTAATTAATCTCCTAATGCTATTTATATTACCTCAATCACTCCGTAAGCTTGTTACACATACAAGATGGAGCCTGCATTCGAGTGACAAGTCACACCTGGAGAGGCAAGTCCCCCATTCATCCCACCACGTGGCAAGCATCCACCGGTGCTTGCCCCCCTTGCGAGCTAATTAAGTGCTAACTCTTAATTAACACCTTAATTAGCTTCGTAATGGAGGGATGAGCAATTGAAAACAATCAAACATATGATCTTCTGTTCTTCATTGTTTTAAACCGATTGGAAATTGTGAAACTTCAGAATCATATTAGTGATACAGATTCAATGCCTTGTGCTGTTTTTTCACAGAATAATCATTATTCGATTTCGGTTTTATTTTTTCAAGTGATAAAATTGTGGGCAAAGGCATGTCTCTGCGTAGGGCTCTCCTTCTTCCTCTTAATTTGCATCCCAATTTTAATCCTTCTGACTCTTCCATTTTCCATTTCTTTTTTATGGGCACTATTTTTCTGTAAGATTTTATGTTTCTTCGGTTTGTGCCCCGAATTTAGATTTCTAGAAATGAAGTTTTTGGTAAATTACTTGTCCTCTGCTGCAACAAAATTCACAGGAAGCAGCAAATCCAATCCCAACCATGGTCATCATCATCATCATCATAATAATAATCACCATTATAAGATTATTAACGATAATAATGATGAGTTAATAGCCAAGACTCTTGAGGATAAGCAGGAGAGTGTTCAGTTGGATCCGTCGGAGCTTCCTTCTTTATATGAATCCGATTTCGATGTTGAAGATGATCATCATCAAGAGATCCATCAAGAGATCAAAGACAAAGGGGTAAACAATGGTATGAGTCAAATTTGCACGTATGAGGAAGGCTCGTGGCAAATCCTGGTCTCAAAGCCTCGCACAAGGAGAGAACCTCAATCGGTATGTTGACTTTAGTTTATTAACATTTGCCATTCAAGAAATTTCATTTTGTTCCAATTTTTTTAGGGTTTTTCCATGTCTATGCTCTAAAATTGGTTAGGGTTTGTTTGTATGCTTTTGTGGTGCTTGCTTTGTCTTTTCGTGATCGTGATTTGCTATTTGTATTGCTGTCGTGACCTTGCTGTGATGCCACCTTATTGTGTTATTGCCCTATTGTTGTTCTTATTCTTGAAAATCTATCCTACTTCTTCTTCAGAGGGAGAGTGGGAGTGAAGGAAAGAATGGCTTTCGTGAATTAGAAGTTGAGAATTTGGAGGAAATTTTGAAGTTTCCCGACAGCCACTCGAGGGTTTGGAGTGATGACCACTCGAATGACAGTGGCCAAGAATCGCCAGATTTGAATGAGGTTACTTCGGATAAAGTTGGTGCCGATTGTGTGCATGGTTTTCATGAGTGTTGGAAGTTACTGGTTAAATTTACTAAATTTGAAATTTAGTTTTGGTTTCTCTTTGAGAAAGTCATGACTATCACCATAAGATTAAGTGGGAGTGTTGGGGAAAAGAGAATTTCAATGTGCCGGAACACGTAAACCAAGTATAATAATACAATTGATTGAAAACTTGAAGAAAAATTTCAACTAATTGTATTATATAACACTTGATATACCAAACTGTGTTTCCGGCACACTGAAAAATTTCTCGTTAGAGAAGAGGAAATAAGAAAGTCAATAATGATTTTGAAAGTTACGTCCTACGTTAGCCTTTGAAAGAAAATAATATTTAAGTTACCTCGTCGACAAGATTTAGATTTGATTGTTTAATTAGGGATTGGTTTTAATTTTGTATTTGAGTTAACCTTGTATCCTACTTTCTTGTAGAGAAGAATAAAATTGTGCGTGTGTGACATTGTATAAGAAAATTCTGAAATATTTTAGTAAACTTACCTTAACAATTACATTTTTAAATCTTGTTTTGACACAGTTCTATGATGTGTTGTCGTTTTGGAAGAGCAAAGAGAAAGGAGATGCGGATTTAGAAGAAATTACGAATCCAAGATCCACTGTGTAAGATTGAATAAATGTTAGGGACTTGTCACCTTTTATTTTTGAAATTGTGCATGGCGCCCAGTAATGTTTAATGAACCTCCACCTTTAGTGATTGTTTTTCCTTAATTAATCACACACTTTTTCCTAATCACCCTTTCCTTAATTCTTCTAATCAAAGCCAATATACCTTTTGAAACATTATCTGCAGTCTGCAGACAGGTGTGGTAAAATTAAAATACCAATATTAGTTTGAATCATATTCACATTCAAAAGCAGCGCTTATACAAACTTTACAACTAAACCCTAATTATTCAGAAAATTAAAGAACGATGAACTCATCAGTTGACTAGTCGAACCTAACTTTGTGTGCTGAAGAGAAGTGCCTTGCCGCTACAACCATGGTTGCCTCTGGCCCTGCACTCTTTGCTACAGTTTTATCCTTCCTTACCTTTTCTCCTTCGCCGGCCGATGACGATACAAAGATGCAAGAAGAGATCATCAAAACACGCAACATCGACGAGCTCCTGCTTGTCCTCGACCTTAACCATCTTACGACTGTTCTGTCAACGAAACTGAACCAGTATCCTTTTAACTAAAAAAGTAGAACCAGATTAATGGCCAAATAACTTCTGTTTGTTTTTTGATTGTTGAGAGTCATAGCGATCACCTGTGCCCTTTTTATAACCTGAAGTTGCTTGATGGTTGAGTTTTAATATGACCTTGACTAAATATATTGGTTCCGAGTGAAAGTTCCAACCAATGATGGTATATAAGATTGCGAAGGGAGACCAAGTCTGGGAATACTTGTAAATCAATACCTTGGGAACTAAATATGTTTAGCTAGCAGTAGCAGTCAAACATGTATATGAATTTCTCAGAGGTTGTACAGGACTCAGAAGTCAAAATAATTTTATAAACAAATGTAAAAACGTGTGGCAAACTTACTCGTTTTGGTCAATTTTGACATGATCAATTCTAATATATGTATATATATTTTTTGAGCTGAAAGATATATGAAGGACTTAGAGCTAACGGAAGGCTTGACGCAAAACCAAGCACAGCATGAACTTTAGAATTTATACAACCGATCTCATTTAGTGGAATAAATCTTTGTTGTTATTGTTGTGTTGAGCTGAAGGTAACAGGTTAAGTCAGAGTTTAGACATCATCTGGGCTATTTTCTAATGCAGATTAGCTGCGAGCCCCTTTTCTGGGGTGATAACACGGATCCAGTAACATTATTTAGGCCAATCCAATAATCCACTATTTTGATTAGGGAAAAAAAAAATTACTTTTTGAAAGGCCGATGTTTTGAACAAAACAACTATATTCAGTGAAAAAAAATAGCAATGTATAAAGGCGCGTATAAAATATGAATTTGAAAATGACAACAAAAACTTCAAAGGATTACACTAAAAATGTACAAAATTTGCACACATAACTAAAATATTTCTTCATAAAAATATATGGATATTTTTTGAGCAAATTAGCTACAAGAAACATATTTTGAGATTTGATTGCAAAAATTATTGTTGTTTATTTTGTCACTATTATGTCATTATTTTGTCATCGTTACGTCGTTCGATATATGATATGTCATCGTTATTGAAAATGATATAGCTAATTTTCCAAAAGTTTTCGAAACTCGCATTATGCTATATATAGGTGCAATGGGTCATGGGACATGAACAACAACATTGGAAGTATTATGTTTATGCTATTTTGAGGGTCCGTTTAAAAATGTTTCTCTAAAATGTGCTTCTGCTCGTAAACTCTTTTATATATATTAAAAGTGCGTCAAACTTGTTTACATAAATTTAATTAATTAAGTATTAAGTTCGTCATCCACGAAAGTAAAACTTAAAACCGTCCGCTTATAAGATTCTAACGCTTTAATCATTTTTAAAGTCTCGACCGTCTGCATGGAGGTTGATCCACGTGAACAGTACACGATAACAAAGATGACGACCCTCGGCGGCCTAAAAGAAGAAGCTCTGAATAACAAAACAAGCAGTAAAACTCCCAGTTTTTCTGCGTCTCTGACTCTGACCCTTAAAAATCCAAATCCATGTGCGCCCGCCCACCGGAAGCCCTACGCACCCTCGCAGACGGTGACACTGCTCAACAATCCGACGGCGCCACTTGGTTTGCAGAACTGGATAATCTTTGGGCGTTACGTGGCAGGATGCCATTGACTGGAATTTGTCTGTTGTATGTTTGTGTAGGGTTCCTGATATGCTAATCCAATGTGTCGGGTCGCTGGGCAAACCGGTGTGGCTCTGCGATATGTCTTTTTTATGGGTATTCAATTTCATTAGTTTGTCCGCTTTCTGATTAGCAATGGAAAGACAAAATATGTCCAATGAACGTGGCAGAAAATGTTCCACAAATCTAAAGTTGGCAAGTATCATAATTTAAGATTTTAGCATTCATATCTTATGAATCCAAAATTAAACAAATAGATATAATTTTTTTCCAATATCACCAAAGGTTTGTAGCTTAGTTCGTTAAAGTATTAACCTACAAACGAGATTTTTTGGGATTTAATTTCTGCTCCCCTTGTTAAAAAAAAAAAAAAAAAAAAAAAAAAAACTCTCCAGTAATTGAAAAGGACAAGCGGCTTTCGTGTGATTGAATCTTATAATACATCAACGACGTAAATACTCTCGCTTGCATAACGATTATCTTGTCTTAAACGTTATATTAAGCATGAGTATTTTTGAGTTTGTCTTAAGCATTATCCGACCCATCAATATTATCCCTATTACCTATTTGTTAAGGATAAACTGTAGTTTGACTTTCTAAATTAATTTTTGGATAAATTAATGTCTTGAACTATTTAAAAGACCAACCCTTCGCCGTCAAATTTGATGGAATTTTACCCATTACCGTCAAATGCTGGAACGTGACTAGCACGTGATTTACTCTTAAAAGTAAAATTGTGTCAGTATTTGACGATAAAATAGATTAAATTTCATTGAATCTACCGATGAATGGTTCATTGGCTGATTTCTTGTAGTTGAAAACAATTTATTTATATATAATAAAAAAAAAGAAGGTGACATGGATAATATCGACAGGTCGGATATTAAAGTAATTATCAGTTTCATTGTCACCATCACGTGGGAGAGTCCGCAGTCTTCCGGAATTTTGTAACCTTTGGAATGGTAATGCATGGAGTACCATCTACCGGCCCAACCTAAACCCTAATATTAATTTAAACTTGTTTAATTAAGAATGTAATCAAGCCATATGGCTAATTGCTATGGGTGAAATGTCGTATTTACTTGATTTAAATTTAGTTCAATGTTGCTCTAATATCACCGTCCTTGCTCTGCTCCAAAAGTGAAAACGTAATTCATACACATTTTTTGTCTTGAAATCATTGTCCTTGTCCAGTTAGCAAAATGATAAAATCCACGATTATGTCTCACTAACAATAAGAGATAAACTAAATGAAGAGACCATATGTTTATTTACTTGAAATTGAAGAAGTCATGAATCGATAGGAGATAAGATGACAATGAGCTATGTGAAATAAACGACGACTCGTTGAGAATGATTTTGACCTAGTTCATGGTCTGTTAGAAGCAAAAGGCGCTCTGGTGGGATCCTCATAGACAAAAAAACAATCGCACTTAGTTTGATAATGATCGCGTGACATTGCTTATTTGGCCTAAACCAATAAATTCCCTATATATAATGCAAAATGGATTTTGTTATATAGTTTATAAGAAATCTTTCTATACCAACAATACGAATCAAAGTGTAAAAAAGGAAAATGAGTCATCAACCCCCAATGAATAGAGAATCCTTGGTAGTTCTATATCAATGGGCGAATGAGTTGGTTAAGTCTCACAATGCGCTAACAATAATGTGATTCAAGTTCACTTTTGATAAGAATCAAACTTAAATTTGTTACTTATAAATGAAGAATAATTATCCTAAATCATAGCACCAAGTGGCTTTTCAACCGCATTAACTTTGAGGTATAGCATTCTCAATTATTAATTTTTAGGTTTGAATGATATTTAATTTCTTTACGTTCTTCCCATTCATACCAATCTTGTTAGCAAAAAATAAAAACAAAAACAATTACTTGCTTCAGAAATTTGCACCCACCCCACCCAATCTGTAAATTCATTTTATTGACCCGAAAAAGGAGAAATCTACATAATCTTTTTCTGATCCAAAGAAGTCTGAGTCACTTCAAACCGTACGATCAGTCCACCATAAAGCAACACCTGTACTAATTCGTACCCGGCCCCCACAAGTTACCCTGATTCCGCAGCAGGAAAATTTTGCTACTCCCACCCTCCAGGGGCAGCTCTGGTATTTCACAGCCCACATCCAGGGGTCATTTCGCCAAATGAACAATTAATTCAACCGTCGAGTCGTCCGTGGGCACGAGGGATTCGTCGGTCATCAGATCGGCATAGAAACTTATAAAATAAAATTTAATTAAAACCGGCCAATAGGAGGGCGACAAATGCCATGTAATCAACTAAGTTCCATTTTCGAGAAATTTTTAATTGTGATGGAAACACAAGTAATACATCACGTGTTTTAATATAAATTGTGAAAAATTTTATTTTTTAAATTATTAACTTTTTAACACATATATACCACAATTTATATAATGACACGTGGTGTACTACCGTGTATTGGTCTCATTAAAAAATCTTTTCATCTCCTCGTCTCCACATCGAGGACCAATCCCATCGCACGGCCCATGACTCCCCGGGAGTCTACCGATCCAACGACCCACATTACGTGTTCTAGAGTCTTCGAACCAGATAAACAGAAGCAAGAGAGAGAAAGAGAGAGGGGAGAGAGAGAGAGGGGGGTGGTCAGATTCTAACCAGGGTTAGTTTGCTTAACCCGGATCTACGCGCTGAGTTAAAGATGGTGCCGAGGGGGGAAAGAGACCGCTGTGAGAAGAGAGAGAAGGCGAAGAATAGTTACAGATTCAGAGAGCAAGACGAAAGAAGAAGGACGGCGACGCAGGAAAACTCGCGAGGGTTTTTGTGAGTCGACTCGGACGATTCTCTCCCCTTCCGCCCCCAAGCCTTTCGCCTCTCGCGCCGTCCGTTAAGCCTCCGTGATTCTCAGTCAAATTTCAAGGAGGCGCGCGCGCTAAGGATTTCGTCTCGTTGTTTTGACGGCCGTGCTCGCTTCGGTTGATGGCTCTTCCAGATCTTGTATTCTGGTGAGTCGCCGCCTCTGATTACGCTATTTTGTAGCTCAGCAATGGTCAGATTTTGTTCTTCATTGTCGTTTCCGAATTCATTGTTATTTTATCATTTTTGAAATTATGCTCGCGGATCGAATCGCATGCAATTTAGGGTTCAGTAATTTAGATTCGGGGAGCCGAAAATGGAAATTTATGGGATTTAGGTTCAGCGACTAGAATTTAAAGTGTGTTCCGTTTCGAATTTAATCGAAATTTCTAAGAATATTTGGGTCTTGAGAAACTGTAGAGTGTATTTATTTACAGGTTATGGATGCTTTGTTTTTATGTTAATTTATGTGAAGTTCAATCAATTAAGCGAACTGCTTTCTGTATTTGATCCACTCTGTGTTCTAAGATCTACGTATCCATGGAAAAATAATGAATTAATGTCCGACTGTTACGTTTCGATGCAGATTCTTTACTTTTTTTAGGAGGACGACATTGAATTTTCACTGAATGTAGCATTGAGCTCCAGTGTAGATTCTTCGGCCTCCTGTTCGTTCCTCAAGGTCTTTTTGCTCACGGAATCTTGGTGGGTTCTGGAAGTCCTTATCTTATGATCGTCTTGGAATCGAGTTTTCTATTCATTCTGTCATCAGCCGCTTTGGAGCTCGGCAACGTTTTGGCTCTCTTCTACCGCCGCCTCTCTTGCCGGCCTCCTAAACTGTCACTTCCGTCTGCGTAATGTCTCGTAAGCTGGACAGCCCTGTACAGACCCAGATGCCAGCGGCACTATTTAGCAATCCGCTCAGTGGGGAGTACCATGGAAGCAAGAGAACGGAAGGGAAGCAGCACACTGGTAGGAGGCGAGTTTTTGTGCAAACTGAAAGTGGATGTGTCTTGGGGATGGATTTGGATCGCAGCGATAGTGTCCATACTGTGAAGAGAAGATTGCAGATTGCTCTCAATGTTCCAACTGATGAAAGCTCGTTGACTTTTGGGGATGTGGTGTTGAAGAATGATCTGAGTGCGGTTAGGAATGATTCCCCTCTTCTTCTCACCAGGAACCTTATGCATAGAAGTTCATCAACTCCATGTCTCTCACCTACTGGAAGGGATCTGCAGCAGAGAGATCGGAGTGGTCCTATAGAGACATTAGGGAACTCAGATCGGTTTGCTAGGACAAAACAAGTGGTCAAGGATATGGTGAAGGCCATCAAGATGGGGGTTGATCCAATTCCTGTTCATAGCGGGCTTGGAGGTGCATACTATTTCAGGAACAGCAGAGGTGAGTGTGTTTCGATAGTGAAGCCAACTGATGAAGAACCTTTTGCGCCTAACAACCCAAAAGGTTTTGTCGGTAAAGCTCTTGGGCAACCAGGTTTGAAGCGCTCGGTGCGAGTTGGGGAGACTGGATTCAGAGAAGTCGCAGCTTTCCTGCTTGACAAAGATCACTTTGCCAATGTGCCTCCCACTGCCTTGGTCAAGATCACTCACTCTATCTTTAACATAAACGATGGGGTGAACGGGAATAAGACTCCTCAGAAGAAGCTGGTTAGCAAGATTGCATCTTGCCAGCAATTCATCCAACATGACTTTGATGCGAGTGATCACGGGACATCCAGCTTCCCCGTAACTTCTGTGCATCGTATAGGGATATTAGACATTAGGATTTTTAACACAGACAGGCATGCAGGGAACCTTTTAGTTAGGAAACTGGATGGTGTCGGGATGTTTGGTCAAGTGGAGCTCATTCCAATTGACCATGGCCTTTGTTTGCCAGAAACTTTGGAGGACCCCTACTTTGAGTGGATTCATTGGCCTCAGGCTTCCATTCCATTCACAGATGACGAGCTTGAGTACATAGAAAAACTTGATCCACTTGAGGATTGTGAGATGTTGCGCAGGGAGCTTCCCATGATGCGAGAGGCTTGTCTCAGGGTTTTGGTTCTTTGCACCATTTTCCTGAAGGAGTCTGCTGCATATGGTCTCTGTCTTGCTGAAATAGGTGAGATGATGACTAGGGAATTTCGCAGTGGCGAGGAGGAACCTAGTGAACTTGAGATAATTTGTATGGAGGCGAGGAGGATGTTGGCAGAGAGGGAGGAGGTGCTGTCTCCCAAGGCTGATTCGGGAGATCAGGAGTTCCTGTTTGACATAGACTGTGAGGACGCGGAGGAAGACTACACCTCCAAATTTGCAGCAGATGATTATCTGAACAGGTCATCATCCTTTCCATTTGCAAATGGGAGTGGGCATGGCCGCTCGCTTCTCTCTAAACTTGAAGAAAGCATCGAGGAGGAAGAGGACAGTGAAGTGGAAGAACAAGAGGCATTGGCATATATGCCAACTCCAGAAAAGGTCCCAAGCGTTTCAAAACTTTCTATGTCGCTGAAGAATACAGTTTTGGGAGAGAAGAGCCACCTGAAGTATAAGGGTTCCAAACCAGAAAATGGGTACATGGCGAATACATCATTGGGGCACAGGAGTGCAAACGAGCAGCTTCCTGCAAGCATGAGCTTTGTGAAGCTGGCTGACATGAGCGAGGATGAGTGGACCTTGTTTCTGGAGAAGTTTCAAGATCTGCTGTACCCGGCATTTGCCAAACGCAAATCTGTTACCCTAGGTCAGAGGCAGAGACAGAGGCTCGGCACTTCGTGCCAGTTTTGAGACTGAGGCAGCAACGCTCGCTGCGTGGTGTGTTAGACGTGACTGAAGACCTATAAGATTAGTAGGGTTTGTGGTGGGAGTGCGAGGATTTGTTCCCTTCGTTAAGATTAGATTTGGGTTTACGGGTTTTCCCATATCGGAAGGCGTTTGTAGTGACGAGTGAGTGTAGGAGGAAACCTGCCGCCGTAAATATTCTTGGCAATCAGCTGAGCGAGAGGAGCTGAGAGTAGAATTGGTTGTGTTTCTTTGTCTTTTGGCTTTTGATTTTTTGATTTCGTTTTCTTTAACTCCTTGATGACGTTGTTGGATAAATAATTTGTAGAATGAAATCAAGAAAAAGAGGGATCATGTAAATTGTGGCTTTGTTTCAAGCTACGTGTATTTTCATTTGCCTTTTATGTATTTAGAAAGGTTTCCTTTTTATATGATTTCGGTCTGATAAAAGCATCTGAATTCTGAACGACCTTTTGTTTTGTTTTTCAATTTTCATCGAGGAACTCCTCTCATAAATTCCAACTTGTATACAAAAAATGCTGGAAAATTGGTTTAACTCACGTCTACATGATACATGATGTGGTATACAAAAGTCAAGCTGCCGCTGCCACTGCCACTGCCACCCACAGATGGATAGATTAAATATTGGTGTGCATTATTTGTCTGAATTTAAGGGATTAATTAATTCCATTTGAAAAAGAAGCGAGTGTTGGTTACGTCAAGGTTGTTGAAAATTGGAATGAAACCGTAATCGTAATCGTAATCGTATAAAAGCAAGCAAGGAAGGGAGAGATTTTTTCCAAAGAAAATGTTGTGGATACTGACAGAGAAAGCAAAACAAGATATTACCACCACCACATGGAAAAAAAGGTCCCACGGCACGAACTCGAAGCCATCACTTGGATAAGACACGTTTTTGTATTTTGCGTTTCTTCCGTCCCTCCGCCAGCGGATTGTTTTGCCTGCTGTTTTCTTCCAACAGTTTCTGGGTTTTTTCTTGTACGCTTCCATGCACTGCATTATTGGTCCCTGATGAAGCTGTCATATGGTATCCAAGCCTGCTTATTTTTCCAGCACGATTGAACTCTAAAGTCCTGAATTTAGACCACTAATTAAACTCGCGAGTTTGGACACTCAAATCTAATCCCCGAAACTCAAATCAAGTAACAAAAAAGGGGTGCCGATGTGGAGTTGTTTTACGTGCGGGCGATTAAAGAATGGTCCCATGCATGTGACGAGACGTATACAATTTATGTTGAATTGCACTGAGGTTTTTTGTATAAACATTTATATCTGTTGTAGTGCATGAGTGATTAAGTTGCGTACGATACGATATTGATTACTAGTGATTGACTCGATCATCTGTAACCCTACTGATTAGGGCAAGTGGGCAACCTTAATTATATGCCTAATTAGTGGTGGGGTTTCATTGCTGTCACTATGAACAAGGTTCATGCTGGACTTTATCTTGAAAGAAGATAGACATTGATTGAAAAATGGGTGATGGGTTCTCAACTAACAATCTCCGAGGGCAGTCAAAGGGCTTCCCATATGAGCTGATCATGAGAATTGTTGTTCGCTTAATCATAGCAGACCCCACACGAATGGATCTTATTAATATTAATTATTATAATTAATAGATAGATTAATCAAGTGATAAGTAATATTATTGGTGGTGGGACGGACGACGGAGACTGCGATGAAAAGGATTGAAAGTGGAAGCCTAATCTTGAAATACCAAGTTGTTGTTTAGTGCTAGTATATTACTATATTTGCCACTTGGATTTACTAGAAATAGGGTTTAAGATGCAAAGACAAAATTATGCCACCAACAATTCAACAGAGACAGACAAAACGTGGGACTCGGACTTGTCTGCTTGTCTGTCTCCTTATTGATTCTGTCTAGTGGGTGATACTGGTTATGCAGTATATCATCTTACTGTGTTTTCTGGGTTACTCACGAGAGAAACTTATATACATTTCGAATGCCAACGTGATTGACTTGAGGTGATGTCACTGTGGCATTCCAAATGTGTGGAAGTTCTTCTCGTCTTTTACACTTGACCCGGATTATATTTTTGTCAAGGCAATGCTGTCATCTGGAGGAGTTTATCTTATTTTTCTACAAAGAGCATATGTGTTCATTATTTCATGTTGAAGAAATTATCACGGCATGGGAGCTTAGAAAGCAGATTTGAAATATAAACATGACACTGGGTGCTTGGATCGGCTGGCTGGTCTAAGGATCAATTGGTCTGGTATTGTGAATTATAAAGCCCATTGATTAGGTTGGGCCTTGCTGTTTCACTTTTTATTGCATTGATTGATACTTAGTACTTCATTGAACTTAAGACATTTCATTTACAAATGAAAATAAATGTTACTGATAGTATAAACCGTAGTGCTAGTTGGTGATAGCTAACATGTTCTGTTAGAAAACAACATAATAATTCTAAGGACATTATTACAAAATCTATATACAACAGAGCTACGCCACTACAATTGGCCGGTCACAACTAATTTATTGAACTCATAAAAATGTGTATCTGTCTGTTCTCTTTAATCTGATTTATATATTTATACTGCACCAACCAAATTATCATTCTTTTGGAGTACATATGTGTTTCAGGTCAATCTTCATGGTTCATACTTATACAAGGAAAAGAAAACATAAAATGAGCTGCAGAATATAACTTAATTAAATACATAATTCAAATTATTAATTTATTACACTGGAAAAGCATCTAAAGAATATATATTTGGTACATAATTCAGATTACGTCAAATAAATAGATTTAATTAGATATGTCTCCAAGGTCTTTCTGCAAGGTTCACACATTCACTGTACCTATAACAATCCACCAGATGATCATTTGTCAACCCTGCAGCCTGCATGAACGAGTACACAATCACCGGTCCAACGTATCGAAACCCTCTCTTGATCAAATCCTTGCTCATGGATTCTGCTTTCGGGGTCCTCAGAGGAACGTTTCTGGGGTATCTGAATCGGTTTATGACTGGTTTGTGATTCACATAACTCCAAATGTAGCTGCTGAAAGATCCAAACTCCCTCACAATCTGCATTGGTTAGATAACTAATCAAGATTAAGTACAATGTCAACAACTAATAAATAATTTATATCATGTTCTAGTTTTCTTGCTTGCCTTCAATATGCATTTGGCATTGTTTATCATGCACCTCACTCTGCTGTCTACCAGCATTATTTCTTTGTTGGAAGTTATTTCTGCAATCTCTTTCTCCTCCATTTTTGCAACTTTGTTCGGATCGAATCCAGAAAACGCTTCCCTGCGTTACGAACTAAAGCATAAGATCTATGAAATAGTACCAGAATTTTATAAATTCTAGTGACATAGCTAGAAAAGAACTAGGTTACCTGAAAAGCTCCCTTCTTTTCACAATTTCAGTCCAATTGTGGTCCATCAACATACCAGACAGTGCAAGCAGCTCAAACAATTGACTGCATGCAGATAGATAGATTTATTTAATTAATCACCACTTAATTTTTTTGATTAATTAGACTTGAACATAAGAGTCTCGATGGACTTACTTGTCATCGTATGCTGGAACTCCCCAGCATTCGTCATGAAACGCTACATAAACTTTATCTGTGCAATGAAAGAATAGGATCAATGCATGTCTGCATAAAATTCTTTATTTACTCCGGCAAAAACAATTTTATTTTATTTTCTGTGTATATTTATGACAGAGTTACAAATACAACAGAATGACACAATTTGAAACCCATACGAATACAAAACTCTATGTGTATATGTTGCATGTTGCCGGTTTGACGCAAAAAAAAAAAAAAAAAAAAAAAAAAAATTTATTATTAAAGACAAACACGATCCAATGCCACACGTTGTGCAGTAGATAATCAAAAAGTTAATTGTAGTAGGCAAAGAATTATCTAATAGGCTCTAGAGTCGATAAAATGTTAAATGCCTCACATATGTTGTTGTCATTTGTATTATTGTCTTTCAGATATATATGTTACTAACTTGCATGTATCATTAGCCAACTACTTGGTAAGGATGGGCAACGGTTATGACAGACGGGTAACCGCGATTATTTACCCATAATCGTTTATATTCATATCTACATAACTGTTTACCCATTAGGTAATTACATAAACGGTTATACCCATAACCATAACCGTTTATAAACGGTTATCCATACTCATAACTGTGTATCAATTTAACTATAACCATTTACCCATTTAACCATAACCATAATCATTTACCCATTCATCTATTTTTGAACCCGTTTATCCTTTTTTTTACCCATTTACCCATTTTTTCACCCGTCTACATGTTTTTTTAACAACTTGAAAATTACAAAATAAAAATTTGTTATAATTTTCGTTTTCTAACAATTAAACACCGTTATAGGTACATTTAGCATACATTTCCCTATTTTAATCATTTAAGTCCTCATACAATTCCAATAATTGAAATAATAGTTTACGAACGATATTTTTTTGTTAGACCCAAGCAAGTCTTTAATTATAATCCATATGATTACAAAGTAAAACTTCTAAAAACAAAAAGTAGTCATTATCTTGAATACAAGATGATTCAAAGCTCCAAAATATTTCGAGACTAAACACTTTCGAACACGTTCAATCACAAAGTAGTCATTATCTGTATATTTTGGTGCAACTGCAGGTTGTGAAAATTTTAAATTTAATGGATTAAACTAAAAATCAACCAACACTTTTGTTTTTCGTTATGCAAATTGAATTACTTCATAGATGAGAGTAAAAAACAACCAACATGTTCCTTTTCCATTATGCAAAATTGCAAATTATGCAAATAATTGAATTTTACATATATTAAATTAAATGGGTAAATAGATACCCGTTATAACCGCAGATAATACCCATAATTGATGGATACCCGTTATAACTGCGGATAATACTCATAACCGTCCATTTAAATTTCACGGATAAATGGTTATACTTATAACCGTTTATTCGTCTAAACGGTTACCTATAACCGTAACCGTCAACTTTAAATAAGCGGGTAACCGCAGTTACTCAAACCCATGAGTATTTTGCCCATCCCTTCTTGGTAGTGATGAAAGCCCTTATGACTTTCTTGTTTATGAAGTTTACTATCATTTTCTGTAGATTCCACGTACCAACTCCTACGACCATTTTTCCTTTCCAATTTTCTCCGGAGCAAAGTCATAAACTATTATTATTATTATTTTTTTTCAAATGATGAAAATCGGAAAACTGGAGCCCATCAGGGACCTTGATGAAATTGAAACAATACAGTAAAGATTAGCATGGGGTATGTTCAAGGATGATATACATATATAAATCGAGAAAGCATGAAAATAGGAAATCAAAGTTTTCTGCAGTATTTGATGAAACATTAATAAAACTCACCACTATTCTTTGTTATCCAATTGCACCTCCTCAACTCCCCATCATTAGCATCCTGAGCCAGACTAATCTGCTGCTGGGCAAGTTTAGCCACTGGAGAATTATACTCTCTTCTTGGAGGTGGTGGTGCAATGAAGCGGAACGCCGCGGAAATCTTCTGATCCAGTGGAAAGGTAGAATCGGTGAGAGAAGAATCATACGAGTTCTCCGACAAGGAGAATGACAAAGATGATGATGAAGATAGGGATAGAGATGAAGTGCTCTTGTGAAGGCCAATTGGGTAAATTCGTTTGAGGTGTAGGGTTACTGTTCGTCTTCTCCCTCTCCTTTACAACTTTGTTCTTCTCCAGAAGTACATGTCTTCTTAAAATATTTGCTTTAGACATGTTACTTGCAGAGAAGATGTAAGAAAATAAATATAAATAAATAACTTAACTTAAATGGAGTAGATATGTTGAAGTGGTCTGAGATTTTATATAAGTGTTTGTATGCTTTGAGTTGGTTGGTGAAATGTGAGTTTCATGGATAATTGTGTGTCGCCATTTTTCCTCCTTAGTTTACAAGCAAAATCAAAGATTATAATATCGTAGAAACAAATAGGAGAGGCCAAACATTAATTTTCTTTAAAAGGGTTTTGAAATTATTTATCCCCCTGTTATTTATAAAGATTACCTGAAATATTGAAAGAAGAAAGTAAGAAAAAAGCACTCCTGTGAGAATAGAGGAAACAGTTGACCTAATGGAGCTACTTCTTAAAATATGATTAGAGATATTGATAAGTAATTCTCTCATTTTGTCATATGATTAATTAAAGTTTCTAAGGATATAGGGGATTTGTTGCTTAGCCAATAATTAGGTGTTCTATATGCACCAAATAGAAACCCACTAAACAAACAATATACCGTACATAAATCACAAGTTAGGTCCATTTTTTTTGTCTGTTTAGTATCATCTTGTACCATTTCTCAATTGAAAAGTTTGTATAATAATTCTATATGTGCACTATTCCCTAATAATTACCATCCATTTAGCAAACCATGAATCTTTCATGTCATCACATTACTTTGTGCTTTCATGTTGCCAATATATCAAATATCTCCTTTTTCTGAGAAAGGTGAAGATTGAAAAGTGAAGTTTCTAATGAAAGAGGAATAATGTATTCAAAATCCAGGGAAAATTGTTTATAGTTGCGGTGTTTGTTTCAGAGAGCAAGCAAGTCATGGGTGATGGGTCCATGCCATCCTTAACTCCCACTCCTGTTTCTCTCTGAAGCTGAAGCTTCTGATAGGGTTTGAGACATACTTGTGGCCTGCACAGAAAAAGATATCCCATCATCCATCCAAAGCTTCCTACTCTCTCACTCTCTCTCTATTTTCTTCGTCAAATTTTCTTCTTCCTGATGGGTTGCTTGGAACGCAATCATATTATTATCCATGAAGCAAACTGGGGAAGTGAGCTTGCCTTAATTTCTGGAGTCTTGGATGCTTTGGAGAATTGAGAAAGTTATTAAGGTGGTGGGATTTTTGAGCTGATTTCATGGTTACATAGATTTTCTCTACCCGACATTTGTTTGAAGATTGATATGTCGAGAAACTCTTATGTATGCTCAATTTTCTTACTTCTGATATCATTTATATTGATATCACTGATTATTTTGGGTATAAACTGACGCGTTAGAACTTTAATTTTGGGTTTTAGATTTTAGGTTTGTATCTAAAAAAACCTAAGATATGAGTGATCAACTCCGGCAAGATAAAAACCTTCAATCTAAGTTGTGTACGGTTTTAAGTAACAACTAACAAATGAAAACCTTCTATCTAAATTGTGTATGGTTTTACTTACCACTTATTAATACGGAACACCATTTGGTTAGGACTTAGGAATATAAATACGAAAAGGATAATACGTATTCACTAGTGCGTGTTGTTCACTTTTTAATTTGTCCCATGAAAAAATGTCATGTGTTTTGTGTTTTTTTTTTAAATAAATAATATTATTTACACTAAGAGGAAGATGTGAGTTTAATATCATGTCTATTATTTTTCAAAACAAAAAATATTTGTTAAAATACCATTGAATAAAATCAAAAGATGAGTACTCTCGAGTAATTATCCAAATATTATCGATCGAAACATTCCAGCTAAAAGAAATTATTAATAAATCACTCTTTTTTTTTCTTTTTTTTTTGGAAACATTAATAAATCACTCTTTGGTCAGCAAAAGTATACACAACGACGCCGGTTCATATGCTTACGTAAGGTAGTTATCCTGCTGGCAACGACACCCCTCTCTTTCTAAATTTCAATGCAGTAAAACCTTCAAATTGCCGGGAAAGCCAACGGCTTCCTTAAACCCTAGCGCCTCCCTCCGCCGCCATTCCATCAATAAAGCTTCGATTTTGATCCAACCTCGAACCAATCTCTGGTCTCTATCATTTCTCTCAGCTTTCCAATTTTCCCCGGAACCAAAAAGGGCTCTTGCCCTTTTCATGCTTAAACCCTAATCCCGAATCCCATGCTCCATCACATCCACAAATGGAAGCCCTTACATTTTCTACAAAAATTTCAGATTCTCGCTCCCCTCTCCTCCCTCATCTTCACTAAACCTTCGGCGTCCGCTGCAAAGCTCGAAGACGAGCTCGCCGCCGCCGCCGCCATCCCAAATCCTAGAAACACCGTCTCCGAAGTCATTACCGGCTTGGGAATCTTTGGTTTGAGAAAATTCTTGGGTAATTGTTATTTTAGAACCATGGTCTCAAAGTTGAATCAGCCGGAGGTGGATTTGATTATTGAAAGTTTGAGTCTTGAGAGCTCGGATTCAGCCTTTGGGTTCTTCAAGTTTTTGAGGAATGAGTGTGGCTTTCGGCATTCGAGGATTTCGGAGTTTATTGTTGTTCATGTATTGGCGACGAACTGGCAGTTTCAGGAGTTGCGTTCGGTTGTAAAACAAATGGTGGATGAGGAGGGTATGGTTTTTAACTACTTCTTTATCATATGAATTGTAGCTCATGGATGCAGTAATGAGTTCTTTTGAAGTCCTTGAATAGTTCATTAATTGATTTTATATCTTATTCCGGCGAGCTAAACAAAAGAAAGAAATTGATGGTAGTTTTTTACGCTTTTTTCGTTAACATTACTTTCCTCATTGTGGTATTTATAGTTTGTGATTTGTGATAGGCCCTGGTTCTGCACCTTCACTTTGTGAGCTGCTCTTGTATAGATTCAGGGACTGGGACTCAAGTAGTGTGGTGTGGGATATGTTGGCGTTTGCTTATTCGAGATCTGAAATGGTTCATGATGCCCTGTCTGTTCTTGCTAAGATGAAAGATTTGAATTTGAAGGTTTCGACATCAACCTACAACTGCCTGTTGCATAATTTGAGGCATACAGATATCATGTGGAATGTTTATAATGAAATAAAAGATAGTGGAACTCCAGAGAGTGACTACACTACGTCTATACTTATAGATGGATTATGCCAGCAATCCAGCGTGCAAGATGCAGTTTCCTTCCTCATGGATGCTGAAAGGACGGAGACTGGGCCTTCAGTTGTTTCATTCAATACCATCATGTCTAGGTTCTGTAAATTGGGTTTTGTGGATGTTGCGAAGTCGTTTTTTTGTGTGATGTTCAAGTATGGATTAGTTCCTGATTCGTACAGTTATAATATTCTGATTCATGGGCTATGTGTAGCAGGTTCATTGGAAGAAGCATTGGAGTTCACTAAAGACATGGAGAGGCATGGGGTGCAGCCTGACACGGTAACTTACAACATTCTCTGTAAGGGGTTTCATCTACTTGGTTTGATGAGTGGAGCTCGCAAGGTCATTCAGAAGATGTTGGTTAAAGGGTTGAATCCGGATCATGTTACATATACAATTATGATATGTGGCCACTGCCATGTTGGCAATATTGACGAAGCTCTTAAGTTGCAAAAAGAGATGATTTCAAGAGGTTTTCAGTTGAGTGTCATTGTATACAGTGTACTACTCAGCAGTATGTGTAAAAGTGGACGAGTAGAAGAAGCATTGAGATTGCTGTATGAGATGGAAGCTGTTGGCTTGGAACCAGATCTTATAACATATTCTATCCTCATTCATGGTCTATGCAAGCAAGGAGACGTACAAAGGGCTAGTGAAATATATAGAGAAATGTATATGAAGAGAATCATTCCCAATTACTTTGCACACCGTGCTATTCTGTTAGGTCTGCGTGAGAAAGGGGATATATGAGGCAAGGAAGTATTTTGATCATCTGACGACAAGGGCTGTGACAGAGGATATTGTGCTGTATAATATTATGATGGATGGGTACGTAAAACTAGGTAATGTTGCAGAAGCGATACAATTATATAAACAAATAATTGAGAAGGGATTAAATCCCAGTACTGTCACTTTCAATACTCTTATCCATGGTTTCTGCAAAAATGGGAAACTAGTGGAGGCTCGAAGGATGTTGGATACCATCGAGCTGCATGGATTGCTACCAAGTCCAGTTACTTACACTACTCTTATGAATGCTAACTGTGAACAGGGAAACATCAATGGCATGCTTGAATTGCTTCGAGAGATGGAAGCGAAAGATGTAGAACCAACTCATGTATCTTACACGGTAGTTATTAAAGGACTTTGCAGACAGGGGAAGCGGTGGGATGCTGTTCACTTAGTTGAGGAAATGTATGCCAAGGGCCTAAGCCCGGATCAAATCACATATAATACAATCATCAAATGTTTCTGCAAAGCTCAAGACTTCGAGAAAGCTTTTCAGTTACACAACGAGATGTTAATGCATAATCTTGCGCCTACTCCTGTTACGTATAATCTCCTCATCAATGGTCTTTGTGTATATGGTGACCTAGAGGATGCTGACAGGCTGCTGGTTTCTCTCAATGACAGCAATATCAATTTGACAAAAGTTGCCTATACCACGTTAATAAAAGCACATTGTGCAAAGGGTGATGTATATAGGGCCGTGGCTCTCTTTCATCAAATGGTGGAGAAAGGATTTGAAATTTCCATCAGAGATTATAGTGCTGTAATTAATAGATTGTGCAAAAGGTGTTGGATAACTGAAGCAAAATACTTTTTCTGTATGATGTTATCTGATGGGATTTCTCCTGATCAAGAACTCTGTGAGGTGATGCTTAATGTTTTTTATCAAGGTGGTGATTTCGATTCAGCAGCGGAACTCCTTGCTGAGATGATCAAATTTGGCTTTCGTCCGGATTAATCCATGGGAAAGTTATATTTTTTAAGAATCAGGTAATGTTGTCGTCCACCCTACCCTGAGTTATATCCATAAATTTCATTTTCTTGGCACAACCAAATGCTAAGTACATTCAAGAACAATAGTGATCAATGAAGCATTCATAAACTTAAATTTCTTTTGTACATGATTATGATTTTTATGACTGCAGCAGAAATCTCAAATTAATTGTTTACTCTCTTCGCAGAGTCTTAGGAGCAAGGATGTTCTTGGTGAAGACCGTGTGGTGCTTTCCCATAGAAGCATTAAGCCTAAAGTTAATTCTAGTCAGGAGAAGGCCTACAGAGCTGAAAGTTGAAACCAAGAGTTCTTATACAAGAGTGCCGGCTGACCAGGATTCTTCTGCGCATGCAGTCCCGAATGTCAGGTGCTAACTTAGAGTTACTTTAAGATCCTTGTGGAGCCTTGGGAAAATGCTGAGAAAAAAATGATCCCATTGCTGAAACCAAGAGTTGTACACTATCTACTGGAGGATTTGTGTGACAATCTTCTGGCTCGCCCCGGTGACAATGAGGGCAGTCGCCTTTTTTTCAATGTAATCCATACAAGAGTACAGGCTAACCGTGTTGCCCCAGTGTCTCATGCCTCATCAACAACCAGCAAGGGGAAAGCTAGTTCCTTCCTTGAGTTCATATGGAGGTTAGTTTCTTGAAGTGAGTTTCAAAGAATGCACCACTGCATTTGCTTCTGCTTCTCTTTAATTTCTCACTTTCCATTTTTTCAGGACAATCGAAATAGACGCAGCTAAGGTAAATTTATCATCATGCTCTCCTGCCTCATAGGAAAGAACACCATATTACATACGATTCAAATTCATTCAATGTGATCTGAATAATATTTATTTTACAGAAAAGTTGAACATTCTCCTGGACTTTGATACGAAATCTATAAAACGGTATTGGAAAATAACCATTATTTTATTCCCCAATTCCTATTTGTGTTACGGAGCTGCTATTGGCACTCCAAAATCGATCTTTCATGGCCTAGTCTGTTCACCTCACTTTAATTTGACCCAACTCTTTCACAAGCTCGTCCAAATCCTTTGAGGAGCTCCCACCATCTCCCACAGCCGCAACTGCCTTGTCCCTCAGTTCCTTCGCTCTCACCTTCTCAGGTGCTTCCCCACTCATTGACTCAGCAATTGCCTTTCCCAGCTCGGCCGAGTCAGGTACACCATTGGCACCCTCACACACCTTCACGCCCACGCCCATGTACTCAACCAATAGTTTGGCATTTACAAACTGGTCAGCCTCCATAGGCCAGCTCAATATCAAAACCCCACCCACAATCCCTTCCAGCACAGAGTTCCACCCAGTGGCTGAGAAACCCTCCAACCGCCCGGTGGCCGAGGATCATCACCTGCGGCGCCCAGCCCTTTATCAGCAATCCCCTCCCAGCAACCCTTTCCTCAAACCCATCTGGTACGACTCCGGACCCATCATTCACCTTCCCGACCAAGCCCGTTTTCACAACCCACACAAACCGAGCCCCACTCTGTTCCAGCCCAGAAGCCAAGGCCTCCATCTGCTGCTTATTGAGCAACGTCTGACTTCCAAAGCAAACATACAGCACAGATCCATCCGGGCACCCATCAAGGCATGCGAGCACGTTATCTTTCCCCGTGTCTCTCTGTTTGGGTTGGCCCGTTCCAAGTTTCCACCATTAGCGGCGGAAGCAAGTAGGTTCAATGGGCCAACTCCGTAAAGACGGGGGTGGCCCATTTTTGTCCTCAAGTGTTGCAAATACTCTCCTTCCAACTCATGAAAGCTATAAAAAATGCGTCCCCAACTTTCGGTATTGGCTAGCACGTTATTCCTCAAACGCTCTGAGTCGGGCTCCGATTCTCTGTAGTGGCGGAACATGGAAGGCAAATGCTCTGCTTTGAAAGAGGGAAAGACTAAGATGTGGGTTCTTGCAGACATGGTTGTTGGAAACTTGCTTTGCTTGGACTGTCAGTGGCCTTTGTGCATATGGTGACCTAGAGGATGCTGACAGGCTACTGGTTTCTCTCGATGCCAGCAATACCAATTTGACAAAAGTTGCCTATACCACGTTAATAAAAGCTCATTGTGCAAAGGGTGATGGATATATGGCCGTGGGCAAAAGGACTTCAAATCTCCATCAGAGATTATAGCGCCTTAATTAACAGAGTGTGCAAAAGGTGTCGTATAACTGAAGCAAAATACTCTTTCTGTATGAAGTTATCTGATGGGATTTCCATTCAGCAGCAGAACTCCTTGCTGAGATGATCAAATTTGGCTTCCGTCCTGATTAATCCTTTGTTTTCTTCCTCTTAAACGAACTCTCATCCCATTTTCAGGTAATGTTGTCGTCCACCCTACCCCGAGTTATATCCATAATTTTCATTTTCCTGGCACAACCATGTTGCAGCAGAATTCTCAAATTACTTGTTTACTCTCTTTGCAGAGTTTACAACTTAGGATCAAGGATGTTCTTGGTGAAGACCATGTGGTGCTTTCACTTAGTACCGGCTAACCATGTTGCCCCATCAACAACCAGCAAGGGGAAGCTAGTTCCTTCCTTGAGTTCTAAGGTAAATTTATCATCATGCTCTCCTGCCTCACAGGCAAGAACAATATACCATTCAATTCATTCAGTGTGATCCGAATAATATTTATTTCTGGAAAAGTTGAACATTCCCCTGGACTTTTATACGAAATCTATAAAACGGTAATAGAAAATAACCATTGCTTTATTCCCCGATTCCTATTTGTTTTACGGAGCTGCTATTGACACTCCAAAATCGATCTTTCATGGGCTAGTCTGTTCACCTCACTTTAATTTGACCCAACTCTTTCACAAGCTCGTCCAAATCCTTTGAAGAGCTCCCACCATCTCCCACAGCCGCAACTGCCTTGTCCCTCAGCTCCTTCGCTCTCACCTTCTCCGGTGATTCCCCACTTATTGACTCAGCAATCGCCTTTCCCAACTCGGCCGAGTCAGGTACCCCATCGGCACCCTCACACACCTTCACGCCCACGCCCATGTACTCAACCAATAGCTTGGCATTTACAAACTGGTCAGCATTCATAGGCCAGCTCAATATCAAAACCCCACCCACAATCCCTTCCAGCACAGAGTTCCACCCACAGTGGCTGAGAAACCCTCCAACCGCCCGGTGGCCGAGGATCATCACCTGCGGCGCCCAGCCCTTTATCAGCAATCCCCTCCCAGCAACCCTTTCCTCAAACCCATCTGGTACGACTCCGGACCCATCATTCACCTTCCCGGCCAAGCTCGTTTTCACAACCCACACAAACCGAGCTCCACTCTGTTCCAGCCCAGAAGCCAAGGCCTCCATCTGCTGCTTATTTAGCAACGTCTGACTTCCAAAGCAAACATACAGCACAGACCCCTCCGGGCACCCATCAAGCCATGCGAGCACGTTATCTTTCCTCGTGTCTGTGTTCGGGTTGGCCCGTTCCAAGTTTCCACCATTAGCGGCGGAAGCAAGTAGGCTCAATGGGCCAACTCCGTAAACACGGGGGTGGCCCATTTTTGTCTTCAAGTGTTGCAAATACTCTCCTTCCAACTCATGAAAGCTATTGAAAATGCATCCCCAACTTTCGGTATTGGCAAGCATGGCATTCCTCATACGCTCTGACTCGGGCTCCGATTCTCTGTAGCGGCGGGGCAGGGAAGGCAAATGCTCTGCTTTGAACGAGGGTGATCGAGGAACATCGGGAAATTCAGCTAGAGATGACTTGATGATATCTAAATTACGCCAGCAGTGATCTGCAATAGATGCCAAGAAAGCACCGGAAGAGTAGAAGGTGATTCTGCGGATACCTAGCTGGCGGGCCAGGGGCAAGGTCCAGCCGAGGAAGAAGTCGGAGATGATGGCGGTAGGGGGGTTGGGGTGGGAGTTGAACCAGTGGACGATGGGGTCGTGGAGGTTGGTGAGGGCGTCGATAACGGCGAGATTGCCGCGGGGGCCAATATCCTTGACGTTCTCAAGACCGGGTGGTATTTTGGGGTGAGGAGGGAATGGGAGGACTAGGGTTTGGACGAAGGGGGAGGGGGAGGGGTTGGCTGAGAGGAGCGGAGTTAGGGCAGGGAGGTTTTTGGGGGTGACCAAGACGGTTACGGTGATACCGCGGAGGAGGAGCTGGTGAGTAAGGTCGAGGAGAGGGAGCATGTGCCCTTGCGCAGGGTAGGGAAAGACTAAGATGTGGGTTCTCGCCGACATGGTTTCTGGAATCTTGCTTTGCTTGAACTCTCACTGTGTGCGTGCTTCTTTCTCGGATGTATACTTTTTGTTTTCTTTTATGGGAAGATGAGGAACACGAAAGCACATTGAGTGGCGTAGAATACGCCAAAGCACAGTACTAGGTTAGGACTTGGGAAAGGATTATCTACGGATTCTTTTCCATCTAATCCATTAAGTTCGGAATTCAAGTCATTGAAATTTGATCCAACGACTACAAATAGGGAACTCTTTTAAACATTTCAACAGTCCGGATCCCAAACTTAATGGATTAGGTGGAAAGGGATCTTCCTTTCCTATGACTTGTGAGTGATTGACATGTGTGCTTGCAATTCCGTTTCCATTTGCGATTAGCTGTCAAAATAGACTAAGGGTGCGTTTACTAATCCGTAATCAAATTGAGAGGAATTGAATTGAGAATGAATTGGATTGAGAAGGAATTGAAATGAGGTAGAATCAGAATCAGATTCTTGTTAAAGTTGGTTACTAAAACTGTCTGGAATCGGAATAGAATTCCATAAAACAGTTTACTAATTCAACATAATCAGAATATAAACTAATATGATTACTAAAATGCCCTTGTCCCAGATCAAATATTTTATATACTTTTTTTTTAATAAAATTTGATATAATATATTGTTTGTACCATACTTGACCAATCTCGAAACTACTGAGCAGCGGTCAATGTTATACCGTCAAGGACCCAGAAGAGTTTCCCTCCAACTAGGAGGCCAATCACAGCGCGACACGTGTCGACATCAGAAGCCAATCATAGCGCAACACGTGTCAACATCAGAAGCCAATCACAACACGACACGAGTCAATGTCAGAATGAAACTAGAAACTCTCTTCTATAAATAGAGATCATTCTTTCACAATATTTTCGAATGTCATTTGTACTAAATCATTCACTAGTACTCACTAAAGGAGAGCTTGAACCTATGTACTTGTGTAAACCCTTCACAATTAATGAGAACTCCTCTACTCCGTGGACGTAGCCAATCTGGGTGAACCACGTACATCTTGTGTTTGCTTCCCTGTCCCTATCCATTTACTTATTTATCCACACTAGTCCGGAGCAATCTAACGAAGGTCACAAACTTAACACTTTCTGTTGTACCAAAGTCCTCGCTGATTTTGTGCATCAACATATATAATAGTAAGAAAAAATTAAATTGCTTTTTTATTTCATAGACGCATTAAAATGATTTTGTTTATTTTTTTTTATAAATTTAAGTATTTACTTTAATATCTAAATTTTTTCGCTCAAGTTGTTGTTTCTTCTCTTCGGCATATGTATATAGTTATGCATAATGTGAATGAGCATGGAGTTGTGCATAATGTGAATGAAGGACATGGAAATAAATTGTTAGGAGCATTAGTTAACTCTTCAAGGATATATTTTGTTACATGATGTCAATGAGTAGAAGGAATGATTTTACCATTTCAAATCAAAAAACTTGATTCTCCTTAAACTAAAGAGATTTTCACGAGATGGATTTTGCATAATAGTAAATAAATGAAGAAAAAACATTAGGAACAAATAAAGAGTAGGAAATAACTTCATTAAAGTTAATATTTTACATCAAAGTACATATATCTAACCGTCATAACCAACCTAAACAAACTAGTTATACCTTGCCTAGGCATCATATTATCAACAAAATATTCATAACCTACATACACATCATATTGTCTACAAAATATTCCTAACCTGCCTAAATATCATAATATCAACAAAAAGTAGTTCTTCACCATCATGGTGTCATCAAATCAATCATTAGCTTTACAAAACATTCACAATTTTCCCTAATATATTATCATGGCAACGAGCATGTCATAGCAAAAAACTAGCATTCATATTCTTTGGACCATCGCTTAGATGTCATTATGCATCCAAGTCTACAACAAAGTAGTCACATATGCACTCTTCCTTTCATCAGACATGTTGAAAAAGACCCTCAGAAGATCATGTTCTTTGGCCAAGAAGTTGGTGTCTTTAAATAATTCCATGGGAGCCAAAAACTCCATTTTGCTCAACTCACCGTCAAGTTTTTGTTGCTATCATTGAAGAGAGCTCAACCCACAACCTTGTCCTCAATCTTCCTAATTTCATAAAGATGATGAATATTTGATTAATAAACATTTGTGAGCATAAACTATTAAGGATAAGGTACTATTCCTAAAAATACAACATTTGTGAGCATAAAGAATTGGGATAAAGCAGTCTTCCTAAACAATACAACATTCAAAGATCACCGGTACACAATCCTGCATATCAATCTTTTTCTTAACAAGTCAAATCATACCAAACAATGATAATCTTGTATCAGATGATCTAAAATGTTGTGAGTCCTATACAAGGTATAAAATATCAATGATATAGGAAATATCGGTAATCCAAAAAACACGGAAATATCGATGGAAATATCAGGATATTATCGATATCGATAAAAATTGAATAAAAACCACGGAAATTGTAAGAAAAAACTTGGAAATTTTTATTGAAACTTTGCAGGATGTTTATTTAGTCAATTATCTATTAGTTTATCACAAAAAATTGGAAGGAAATGCATTGCAAGATGGATTTAACTAATTTAAGTTGATTATATAGCGAGCTGGCAAACATTGTGAGTGTAGAAAATATGTAGTAATTAATGAAAAAAGTTTAAAACACCATACTCATTTATATATAATGAATTAGTACAATATTTTACACTTTATACATTGCATGGTAAGATACTTGAGTGACTTAGTACCACATAGAGTTCATATGAGGTTCAAAATTTTCACTATCTTCATCATCTCTATGTGTAGATTTGTTTCTTGCAAAAAGAATTCAAAACAAAACCATATATATAAATATTTTAGCATATTTTCATAAAAACATAAGTGATATGGTGGTCAAGGTGTTGAAGGAGTAAAATGGGAGGGGTTCGAATCCCTTGGTGTTTTTTTAAATATAGAAATTTATCCTAGATAATAAATATTAGGGTAAATTACACAAAACTACCTCAACTATTAGGGTTTTATTTATTTATTTATATTTTTTTCACACAAAACTACCTCAACTGTAAGGGTTTTATTTAATTTTTTTTTTCTGGGTTACAGGTAGTGGGTGCAGCATGTAACACCCCAACCCCCAATTATATGTATAATTTCGTAAGTCCCCTAAAGTTTTATTGAGATTTCATTTTGCCCCCCCCTCATTTTGATTAAATATGGACCCTTTATCTAGATTCCTAAACATTCCCAAACTGCCACGTGGCATCACCATATCACTCTTCACTCTTCTCTCTTTCCGTCCCCTACCCCGTGACCTCTTTCCTTTCTCTTTCTTCTTCTTATTTCTCTGCACTCTATCTCTTTCTCTCTCTCAATCCTCTATCTCTTCCCTCTCTATTGCCGAGACACACACACGACAGCACCATCGTGCAAACATCATTACCATCGTCATCAAACCTCGTCTTTCTCCTTCTCCTTCTCGTCTCTGCAACTCGACGAACGCATGAACTCTCCGGCAAGCTTCTTAATCTTCTCCGGTTAGGTAAGCTTCGGGTTTACCTCTTTCTGTTCTAGATTGAAGCTTAGATGTGAATTTTTAAGTTCTATCTCGTGTTTTTCCAAGGTTTTGGGACGAAATCGGCTCGGGATTAGGCACACCTATCTCCGGCGAGGCCGTGGGTGTCTAGAGGTGTTCCGACCACCACAGGTCATTTCACGGCAAACAAAAATGGTTCGAGAGGGTCCCACCGTCGAACGAATGGGATCCGATGACTGCCACATCATCGGGAGTCGTTCACCGCCACAGAGAACGACACAGCGGCGGCCGAGGATTTTCAAGTCACCGATCTTGTTGCAGACGAGGAGGAGGAGGGAGTCCAGGAGGTGATCGAAGAGGTCGTTGTCAATGGGGGAGTAGGGTTCCATACGACAACGACGAATTCCTCCGATAATATCATAATATATTGACGATAATTAAGTGGATACTCGTGAAAATATCGCCCTCTCACAAAAACGATATTATCGGAGAAATATCGCCGATAATATTGATATTTTGGTCCATGGTCCTATGTAACCTTCAGGAAGATTATTTCTATGGTAAATAAATACTAGTCAACTATCGTGGTGAGGGCGATGATTACGGCGAGATTGGTGAGGGCGCGACATTGGGGTCGTGGAGGTTGGTGAGGGCGTTGATAACGGCGAGATTGCCGTGGGGGCCAATATCCTTGACGTTCTCGACACCGGGTGGTATTTTGGGGTGAGGAGGGGTTGGCTGAGAGGAGCGGAGTCAGGGCTGGGAGGTTTTTGGGGGTGACTAAGACGGTTACGACGATGCCGTGGAGGAGGAGCTGGTGGGTAAGGTCGAGGAGAGGGAGCATGTGCCTTTGCGCAGGGTAGGGAAAGACTAAGACGTGGGTTCTCGCGGACATGGTTTCTGGAAATGTGTTTGGTGGGAGTAGGTGGGTGTTTGGTTATCTGCATAACAAGAGTTTAAGAGAGTATTTAATTTTGTTTTAGATTAGGTTTCTATCTAAATTGATTTTATTCACTGATAAATTTTTGTTGGCATCCAGTCAGCAAAAATATGGGTACTACATTTTCTACGTTATCAAATCACAGTTAAATTGGTAGATTGACTAACATAGGTCTGACATTGTAATGAATTCGTAAGATATGACATTGCGCTATTGGTCGTAATGTCCTAGTGAGGTACAAAGAGCAAGTCAGTCCTTTTGGGAATTCTAGGATACAATCAGCCCATGTTTATAAGTTTATAACCGTATTAGTATTTCTTTCATCGCATAAACTTGTTGTCATGAGAGATATCAATACCGTTAATATACACCTAATTGCATGTTAATACAGTAATATTCAGTTCTTATTTCTTATAGTTTTACTTTTAGCACAACCAAATCTAGAGTACATTTAAGAACGTTATTAATCATATTATTAACCCCAAATAATAATAATACTTGAAAGGCATCAATGGAGTTCATTGGCCCTCTAAAATGTTGTGAGCTAGCTTGACTTTCGTCCCACTTTAAGTTGG